AAGACCGGTTTCACTAATGATGTCTAAGGTATATTTTCTTTGGCAGAGATAAATTCCAGAACTAGAATGGGCAACCTCAACCCCAAGAAAGTATTTGAGTGGACCCAAATCTTTCATATGAAAACAAGCATATAGATATGCCTTGAAATGTTTAATTGCATTACAATCATTTCCAGCCACAATAAGATCATTCACGTATATTAGACAATAATATTTATCTTGGACTTATTCAAGACAAATAAGGAGTAGTCACAAAGGGATTGTACGAACCCATAACCTTTGAGTGCTTGACACAATTTAGCGAACCAACAACGAGATGTCTGCTTAAGTCCGTAGAGTGACTTTTGTAGTTTGCAAACAAGTCCAGGCCGAGAAAGAGTGAATTCCGGAGGTGGTTTCATAAAGACTTCTTCTTGCAAGTCACCATGTAAGAAGGCATTATGCACATCCATCTGGTGCAATTCCCATTGTTTGGCAGCAGCCACTGCCAGGACAATACGGACAGTCACCATTTTGGTCACTGGTGCAAACATTTCCATATAGTTGATCCCTTCGACTTGATGATTTCCAAGAATGACCAAACATGCCTTGAACCTTTCCACCGTGCCATCGGACTTTCTTTTTATCTTGTAAATCCATTTCGATCCAATAGCCTTTTTGTCAGGAGGTAGCACCACTAACTCCCAAGTTTGGTTGTTCTCTAGTGTAGAGATTTCATCCTTCATTACTTTATGCCACTTGACATCTTTCATAACTTCTTTGTATGTCAAAGGTTCAATTTCATGTTCAAAAGCAGCAAGAAAACTACAATGTGCCATGGGAAGTTAGTACAATCCACATATTATGTAATACAGTAAGGATTACCTGAGGATGAAGATGGCGTAGGCAAACATGTAGATTGGCTTATTCGATGGATAGTGTTGGTCACATAGTCCCTCAGTCGGGAGGAAGGTTTCCTAAGTCTTTGCCCTCGACCTAGTTGGTCACTTTCTGCAACCAGCAAGTCCCTTGAGTTGTTTGTTTGCATGTCACTAGCTCGGGACACATCAACATTCAAATCATCACCAATATCATGAGCAATAGGGTCCATGTCGACAAGTTCAGTTGATGAGGGTACATTATCCTCGGTCACTAGCACTGTGTTGCTGGAAGAATGCAGTAAAGGCACATTATCATTGACCTTAGAAGTTGTGTCAGTGGTATCATGTCCCCCCTCACTTCGAAGGTCCTACCCTGATAGAAATCATCTTCATCTTCATGAGAAATATTGGTTATAGATGGCAGATTTTGAGTACTATCTTTGTCTTCTGTATGTGGTTGATTGAAGGAAAACTCATTTTCGATGAAGTGTATATCCCGAGAAACATAGCTTTCTCTTATTTCCAAATCGAACACTTTCCACCCTTTTTTCCCATAAGGATAACCAATAAAAATACATCTCTTACTTTTGAAAATTTGTCACATTTTCTTCCTTTATTGTGTGCATAGCATAAGCACCCAAATATCCGCAAATGCTAGAGAGGAGGAGGCTTTCCATAAAGTACTTCAAATGGGGTTTTCCCATTCAACACTTTTGAAGGAACTCTATTAATTAAGTAACCAGTTGTCAGTATACATTCTCCTCAAAAAGCAATTGGGAGATTCCTTGAAATCTTAGCGCACGTGCAACGTTTAAAATATGTCTATGTTTTCGCTTCACTCTCTCATTTTGTTGTGGTGTGTGGACACAAGAGGTTTGAAATATTATTCCTTGATCCAAGAAGTAATTTTTCAAGCCAAGAAACTCGGTACCATTGTCACTTAGAAATACTTTTACACTTTTATTAAATTGTCTCTAGACTAAAGCAAAGAAATTAATAAGAGACTTCGATACTTTCTTTTTATCGACAATTAGATAGATCCATACACTACGAGAAAATCATCCACGATAGTCATAAAATAATAAGCACCACATGAAGATGGAGTTCTATAAGGACCCCACAAATCACAATGTATCATTTCAAAAATATCACTAGCTCTTTGTTCACTAATGGAAAATTTTTCTCTACATTGTTTAGCTCTAAAACATACATCGCAATTGTCACACTTATTTTTACCAAATCCATAAATGAGTTTTGTAACTTTAAAGGATGGATGTCCTAAGCGCTTGTGCCACAATTCCATTTGATCCACATTGTCTGCCTTGTTAACTTGTAGCCTTTGAGCTCCACAGAGGTAATAAAGTCCATCTTTACATTTACCCACTCCAATCACCATCCTCGAAATGGGGTTCTGTAATACACACAACTTATTAGTGAATTGTATAAAACAATTTGACTCATCTAAAAGTTGCAACACAGTTAGGAGATTACAGTTCAAATTTGAGACAAAAAGAACATTGGCAAGTTTCAATTGTCCCACTAAGTACACATTTCCTTCCTTTGTTGCATTTGTGTGTTCTCCATTGGGCAATCCAACTAGACATGGCAGAATATCATGCACATTATGCATTTCTTCCATGTTTCCAGTCATATGATTCGAAGCTCCTGTATCAATAATTCATGTTATAGATTTACAAATACCTGTCATCTTCTCATTATTTGCTCCTTTATTCAACATGTTTACCAACTTTTGCCATTGATAAGTTGTTAATCTAGCAAGACCAGATTTGTCTGTGTCTGTCATAGGTTCAGCTGCACCACCGATTGCATTTGCTTGTGCAACATTGGCTTTCAAACTTGCTCCTCTCCCTCATCCTATACCAAGTCGATGCGTCCTGATACCATAACAGAATGTATCAGTGGAAGAATTTGTGATGATGTTATTAGACAATGGACCAACCATATATACATATTACAACAACTATATTTATGGAACAAAATCCTATTTACAGATCAATTAACAAATATGGTTCCTATAAACATGCTAAATGAATCCCTTGATTAGCTATGATTTTGTTATCAAATTTCGTTCTTGATGGACAATATATTAGCAACATATCAGCGTGAATATTGTGCTGATATATTTCCATATTTAGCCAGCCTCCAATAAGTAGTGAATATCACATTAATTCAAATAATTATACTATAATAAATCAAATAAAAGCCTAAAAAATATATAATGCATTAACCTATTGTAGACCTCCCAATAAGCGCGTTCTACAACAACAATGGTGAATGGAGACTGGAGCGCGAACTTGGCGAAACACAAATATGCTTCAATGGAGTTGTAATACCCAACTGATTAATGAGAGTAAGAGAATGAGAGAGATTGAAGACAGAAAGGGAAATGGAGAGAACGCAAAACAAGTGGGGGAGCACAAAGTGAGCGAGAAGGAGAGAACGTACCTTTAGTTTAATGGAAGACGCAGAGAGCGGCAAAAAACGCAAAAGCAGAGAGCGGCAAAAAACGCAGAAACAGAGAGTGCGAGGTTGAAGAAAGGGGGTTTAGGGTTTTTAAAAATATGACTTTAAATAGTGGTTTGTCAAATAACCGTTATCTAAACTACACTTATTATAGCGGTTCTACGAAGTAACTGCTATTATGATAACAGTTCCACGTACCAACCGCTCTTTAAAGGTATGACATTAGATAACGATTATCATACAACCACTATTATAAATTATTTTAGAAAATTGTTCTTTCTGAACCGCTATTAAAACATACTTTAGAGAGTGTTTTACTCCTAACTGTTATCTAATATGTATTTTTAAAAGCAATTTTTGTTAATTGTTATCTAAAGTACTGTCACGAAAGTCTTTTTTTGTTGTAGTGGTTGTTAACCACTAAGGAGAATGATCACACTACTTCATACACCGAGGGGCTCACCCAAACTTTAACAACAAATATCAAAAAGTCTCACTTCACTCATATGACAAAATTTTGCTCTTGATACCATGTTAATTCCAATGTAACATTACATTAGTTTATTACATTAAAAATAAGAAAATAAAGAACAAAGAAAAACAATCCAAAGACAATAATATTTGTGATATGTGTAATGTCTCAATAATACTTATTGAATAATAAAAAATATATTTATATACAAGACAATGGTATAACAATTAATAATAGAAGAAAAAAATAAAAATATATGATATAGACAAATTTGATTTAACTAACTAATAATTTAAACCTAAGAACTTAATGAAAATAATTTGGTTCAATACAAATTAAATTAAAAAAATTATCATAATTATTCTATTGAGAAATTTTAGAAAGATTAATGAAAGGAAGATTTTTAATAATACAAATAAATCCTTTTTATTTATAAATTATAATATTATTTTTAATATGGTTGAAAGTCAATTACAAGTTAAATGATTTATAACTTAATATTTTAATATTTTTATTAAAAATAATATAATTTCTTATCAAATTTTAAAAAATTATTTTTAACACATACTTTAATATTTTTTATTAGCAGGCTATTTCACTGTCATATTCTATTCCATGAAGATCATGGAAAAAACTATTTTTACACTATTATTCATCCAAACAACTCATCAATAACTGCATTTTTTATAATAATAATTTTTATATTTATTAAACTTTTTATTGATTATTATATTAATAAAAATAGATTGCATGGGAGGTTATTTACTTTCAAGGATGTCAAAATATCACTCCTCGAATATTACATGCTGAGGTTTAGAACCTGGACAAAGTAGGTTAAATAATACAAACAACTACACGCAGAGCGATAAAATTGGTAAACTATATATTTTGTTTATCTTTCCTTTTATAGTATTATTATAAAATTTTGTTGGAGACGTGTCTTTGTTTTTTTTTTTTTTCCTCCACTCACCAACCTACCTCATCCTTTCCATCTCCCACTTCATTCATTTCACAAATTTTATTAATTTAAAATTTACTTATAAAAGTATATAATTTAAGAATTCCGAACTTCTTTTATATCATTTTGTAAGCGTAATTTACAAAGTGGATGATTCTCCAGGATCCGAAAAATTTTGAATCCGGGGAATACATGCAAACTAAAAAAATCAACCGGGTCAACCCACTTAGTGAGTTTCCGGGTCTTTACTTACAAAAGGGTGGGTCAAGAGTTGGGCAGCCGTCCACCTATCTTGAGACTCCTTCTTGAGACAGGACTCGATGAAGCTGCGAAACTTCGGCGATGCTGACTCCGGTAGGCTCGGCGGGTCACCATAGCAAATGGCACACATAAGGGTAGCCCAATCGGGTCGCTGACCCGCTTCAAGAAATGGGAAGTGACCCACGTAGAGTTCGAAAAGGGTCAAACCGAAACTCCAAATATCGGCGGCAAAACCGTTATAGTTCCCTCCGTGTGCTTCTGGGTCAAACCGTTCTGGACTCATGTACGCGCACGTGCCAACGTAAGAGTTACATGCTTCGAGTGTGCGACACATGAGTTTGCTAACACCAAAGTCTGCAATTTTAATCTCTCCCTTCGAATCTAAGAGGATATTCGCAGGTTTGATGTCACGGTGCGTGATGTGTCGCTCATGAAGGGAAGCTAGACCTTCCAGAATGTCACGCGCCACCACTTTGAGGCGTTCTTCAGAAAATGTGCCATCCGCAAGAGCGGTCTCGAGACTTCCGCCGTCCATGTATTCCATGACGATGGCTAAGTCGCCGGAGGGCTTTTCGAAGGAGCCGTGGAAGCCCACGACATGGGGACTATCTGTGGCGCGTCGGAGAATGGAGATTTCTGACAATGCGCGGCGGCGTGTGGTGGCGTCTGCGTTGCTGTGGATTACTTTAAGAGCGTACGTGACCAAGGTAGTTTTGTGGCGGACCTTGTAGACGGTACCGCCATTGCCGTGACCGAGCACTGCGAGGTTCTCGAGGTCAGCGGCGGTGATGACATCCTCGGCGGCGGGTTTGATGGTGGTGGGAGAGCTTCGACAGAAGGAAAGCGAAAAGTTGCGGTTGCGCTCGGAGGGCTCCAAGACGGAGAGGCGGAGATTGGGGTGGCGTCGGTGGCGGATAAGCGCCATCGGAAGAAAGTCAATTAGTTTTGAATGGTGTGATGGTTTTATAACAAATAAGTGCGTAATATAGAGTGATAGTTTTAGGGAAGTGGGACCCACTTTTAAAATAATTTCATAATTAAATTTTAAAATACATTTAGTTGGTAGATTTTCTTCACTTATCTTATTTGTGCACGTGATTATCTTCAATCTAATTTTTAAATATTATCTTGAATTTGAAATACTTAATGATTTAAATTTGAAGATTTTTTAACTTTTAAATTGCAATTCGCATGAAAGTAAGAGTGAGTGTGCATGTTTTGATTTTTTGAAACCAAAACTCCAAAATTAATGTTCGTTGTTTATTATGTAGAAAAATCATTTTTATAAATATATTTTTCTGACGAAGATAATGTAAAAAAGATAATGTTTGTAATTAATCTATCATTTTAAGAAAAGATAAAATCTTTTAAAAAATTTAGGAAGTTGAAACCTGGGATTACATTATGTGTAACCGTAAAAGATGGATTAAGATAAAGACACAAACGAATAAGGATTAAGATTCTGTTTCTTTAAAAAACAATTAAGATAAATTTTTCAAAAGAAATATTAAGATAATGATGATAAATTATCAAAGAAAGATTATCATTATAAATAATAATTTATTTAAATTTATAGTTTTTCAACCACTGGATATTTAAATTAATATTATGTTATTGATTATTATTTAACATTTTTTATAAAAAAAGTTAAATAAAATTGATAAATTTGTTAAAATTAATTAATTCAAACAACTCAGATGACGATCTTTAAAACAAAATAAATAAGATAACGAATCTTTAAAAAAACCAAGGTAATGAATGTAAAATTACGATGATAAATATAGGATTTATTTAAATTTAAAGTCTTGATGACAATTGATATAATAATAATAATAATAATAATAATAATAATTATTATTATTATTATTATTATTATTATTCAAAATTCTTTTATAATAAAAAAATAATGTTATTTGTTATTTATTCGAATTTTTTTTATATAAAAATATGGTTAGATAAAAAGTAAGTTTGTTAAAATTAATTATTAATGAATAAAATTTTTAAATAAAGAAATTAAAAGTATAAATGATTTAGTAATAGATAAAGTTTAAAGTTTTATCGGTTATAAATAAAAAATTCTAACAAGTCAAATTTCATCCTCACAATTCCATTAAGTCTCTATAATTCTTTTTTCTTTAACTTTTTTTTTTTTTAGATTTCTCATTTTTTCTCATTTTTTTAATATGATGATATCCTTAATTCTTTTTAAGCAAAGGAAATCATTTTTATTCTATCAAAATCTGATTTCATGTGAATTAGATCTCTTTAGAGTTTTTCAATCAAAGTTTAGAAATTGAGGTAATATATAAAATACACGAATACAAATATATTTATATTTTTTAATATATTTATATATTTTAGATATTTAATTTTTTAAATTTAGTGTTGATTTTTAAAAATATACTTTAAATTTGTCTGGTAACTAATTACTAATTTAATAATGGATATATCTATAGGTAACTAATTTATAATTTACCGATGGATATATTTGTCGAAACTAATTATTAATTTACCAATAGATATATCCGTTGAAAATTAATTATTAATTTACTGATAGATATATCTATCAATAACTAATTGTTATAATTTATCGAAATTATTAATTTACCAACAAATATATATATATATATATATGTATATATATATATATATATGTATATATATATATATATCGGTAATTAATTGTTCATTTACTCGACGGATATATCCGTCGATAAGATCAAATTCCATAAATATTTTAAATTCTTCGGTAATTATCTCATTGGTAATTAATGATGATTTTCTTATAGTGAATGAGTTTAATTAGATTTATGATGTGAGTAAAATATGTATGAAATGTTAGAATAGGATAACAATATTTGTATTAAGTATAACATATTTTAGAAGAAAATGATGTAATAAAGTTTTAAAAAATAATGAATAATGTTTAGAAACTAATTTAAGATATAATTTCACAAATATGTTATCAACATATTTTGTTTAAATGATAACTTGTTGCTTAGACGAAATGTGCAATAGAGATAAGAATTCCTCTTTAAATGTATTTTCGCTCAAACAAAAATATTAGGCTAAAATAAAAAACCATCAATGAAATAAGACTTGTTTATGTTATATTTTACCTCAAGCAAACAACTCAGTTAAATAAGACTTTGGTCAAATATACTTTCGCTAAAACAAAAATTCTTAAAAATTTTATATTTAAACTTCTAAAAATCATAAAATATAATTCAAAACTTCAAATTCAATCTTCCCCATGAGAAAGATAATAAAGTAAAAATTAGTAATAAGTAAGTTTAATTGTAAATTTTTGTATAAAAATATTTCAAAAAGTATTTAAGTAAAAAGTTTTGTTAATATTAAACACCATAAATAAGTTATTACTAATTATTTATGATTTAAATATGGAAATCTCGTTATATTAAATGATTGTATAAATAAGATCATTCCTAAATATTTATGGTTAAAAACCATGATACTTATCGTTATTAATATCATATACATATATATTATAATTATATATGAATGAAAATATATAATTTTTAAAATAATATTTATGTAAATTTAAATAATATAAATTTAGTTAAATATATCAATATTCAAAATTTTCCATATGTTATTTAATTATGTATATACATATTTTACAAAATAAAAAAACTATGAAAAATATATAAAAATTTAATACTATTTTAAAAATTAAATTGTAATTCTAACAACATACATTAAGGAGTTACCACAATTTTTGAACTTTAAAGGACAAACCCACTAAAAATACACTAAATGAAGATTGATTTTATTGTACTTGAGTAGCAGACCAATTGTTGTTTTTACACTTACTAATAAATTAAAAATAATATATAACTATCTCTCTCTCTCTCTATATATATATATTATTAACTATATTGTACTTATTATCAAATATATGCATGGAAATATTAATATACATAAACATTTACTGAAGTATAATAAATAGTATTTTATTCATGGTATATAGATACTATAAATATATATGATATTTATTATTTAAAATATTTATTAAACATACTTCTTATAAGTATCTATCATATTTTCAAATTTATAATATATAGTTATTAAATTTAACATTTATAATAATTTGTTATTACATTTAAAACTTAAAATAAATGTTTATTATTTTTCAATATTTATGACATTAATAATTGTAATGAATATTTACTGCATTAAATATTTGTAATCAATATTTTTAATAAAAGTTTATTGCATTTAGTATTTAACATAAATATTTAATATTTATTATAAATATTTATTTTATTTAATGTTTATAATAATTATTGTTGCATTTAATATTTATAATATATGTTCATTGCATTGAATCATTACAATAAATATTTATCACATTTACTAGTTGCAATAAATATTTACCACATTTAATAATTACAATAAATATTTATTATGTTTAATAATTAAAGTAATTATTTATTAGATTTAATATTTATAGTACACATTTTTTTAAAACGAAATTGTTTAAAAAAAGATAGAAAAAATATGTTAATAAATGTTTAAAACAATTATAATATTTTGGATTAAAATTATAGCAATTATTTGATAAAATTATAATCATTAAAAATGTCTATCTGATTAAGGAAAAATGAACATAAGAAAGTTAGCAAAATTAGAAATGTATTGAAAGGTGACATGTAGACTAATTATTAAATCTCATTGATTTTAATTTATATAATACGATAATCCATGATAAAAATATTTGTTACTGATTTATATATATATATATATATATATATATATATATATATATATCAGAATAATAATTACAGAGAAACATATGATTACTATAAAATAAAAATAATGATAAATGAATTAATAATAATATAATCAATAATTTGGAAATCAATATTCATAAAAGACAAGTGTTATTGTAGATAAATGAATTTGGGTTTATTCACATATTTGTTGTTCGGTCATCGTCAGGTTGATTCAAAGGGATTGTATTCTATTTTTTTATATTTGTTCGTAACATAATTTGATTTTTTTATAATTGATCTATTTTTTATATAATTTTATAATATAAGGACTTAAGAACACTGTACATAAACTTATATAGAAGAAGTTATAATTTCTTAAATTATACATTTTTATAAGTAATTTTTAAATTAATAGAATTTTGTGAAATGAATGAAATGGGAGATGGAAAGGATGAGGTAAGTAGGTGAGTGGAAAGAAAAGCATGAGAGTAGAACAAACAATGCGTGATAATATATAAACCATCCATGCTCTATATATATCCATTCAAACCATTGTTATAAGTAGTAGTAATAATAATAATATTTATATTTTCACTTTTTATCTGTTTGTTATTTATGTATAAGATTTTGGGTGGAACATTTATCTATAGTATATTGATGTGAAATAGGTTGCAACACATTCACAGTAAAAAAATATTGATCTCCACTGACATGATTATAGAATTTTTATACAGTAATAACTTGAGTTACCAATTTTTAACTCAATTTATAATTTAGATCAATTAACTTTTACATCTTTAACTTTCGGTCTTATTTGATAGATGTTTTTAAATAATAAATAATGATATTAATATTATATTTTATTATATATAAGTATTTTTCCAAAATATAAACTTTATTTATTATAATATAATATCAAATAATAATACTGAAAATATATTAAAAAATAAAGATTTTGACCTTATTTATTTATTTATTTATGATCAATGATAAATTAAGTTAATTATATATAATTTTGTATATAATAATATTTATCATAAATTTTATGATAATAACCAAATTGTCATAGACTTCTGAAAGTAATCGGAGGGGAATGGAGACAATATGTGGGGCGACGAAAAATAGAGATTTACAAGGATATGTGGTGGACAAGGGATGTGGCAGAATATGATGAGGTTTTTCAGATCAGTGGCGGTGATGACGTTCTCGCCCGCGGTGATGAACAAGTATTGAAAGAGAGTAAACGCTTGTCAACAGCGGAGGTGGCGCTCGGAAGACTCCGGAGAGGGACACATGGGATAGGATGATGACGGTGGCAAAGGAAGTAAAACCTGCGGAGAGAGTCCAATAAAATGTTAATGGTGTGACCATTTTAAACAGTTTTAGTTTGTTTTATTAAGGTTGGAGTTATAATGTAATAACTTAATTATAATAAATTTTTCTTTATGATTCTAAATAGAAAATAAAACATGAGACAAAAAAATATAAATGATATATATCATCTGAAGTATCATGTTAGTAACTAACCTAATTATTAAAAAAATAAATCTGAAGAATCATATATTTAAGTAATTCTCCTAAATATAATTATTTTGTAATGCATTAAAGACTGTGTTAAAATTTAATAAAAAGAGATAAGATTTTTTAGGCATATATATATATATAGATATAATTAAAGTATAATAAAGTAAGTGACTCTTAAATTTGACTACAAATAACAATTTAATAAGTAACAATTTTTTCTTAATAAATAATAATATTAAATTCCAATAATTATAATGAATTTTAAATAAAATGTAACAATTTTAATAAATTGTTTGATTAGTAAAAGGATGTTTCATTTATTTTAAGTTGAACAATTGTCGTTCCCTAATTACAAATATAAGTTCAACCATCGTCGTCTTCTAATTACAAAGTATAATAGATTAGTAAAAAAAAAATAATCAATTGAATTATTTGTTTTTATAATGACTTTTTTTGAAATTACTCTCTATTTGGTCATTTGAGAAAATGACGTTGTGTACGTGCACATATAATATTTTCATAATTAATTTTTATGTTAAAAAGATAAAACAATAGAAACTTATATTATTTTACATAATCATCTGGGAATTAGTTATATTTTATTACTTACGAGTTGTTAATAATTTAAAACTAAATGTATAAATTGTTGAAATTAATATTTTTCTTGTTTATTTTCGTTTTATAACATTTAAAAAAAAGTATTATCATTATTATTAAATTTTGTTGGAAACATGTGTCTCTGTTTTGTGTGGAAGCACGCCACACGTGAAGTGGGTTCAACCAAAAGTTCCAAATAAAATGACGATAGAGATGACGAGAGAAGGTAGTGATCATTGCTCAACTTGTTGGTGTGATGACAACTCATACGAAGGTAGTGATCATTGTTTTTTTGCCTTCACCTTCTTCCACGCACCTACCCACCTCATCCTTTTCATCTCCCACTCCATTCATCCCACAAAATTCCATTAATTTAAAACCATTTCTTTAAAAAATTTATAATTCAAGAAAGAAAGAGTCATAATCTATTCTGAATTCTAACTTCTCTTATATCATTTGTCATCACAATTTACAAAGTTAATGATTCTCCTAGAACTGAAAAAATTTGAATCCGGGGAATACACAACTCAAAAACAAAAAACAACCGGGTCGACCCACTTATCGAGTTCCCGAATCTCTACACACAAACGGGTGGGTCAAGAGTTGTGCCGCCGTCAATCTATCGTTGGACTCCTTCTTGAGACAGGATTCGATGAAGCTGCGAAATTCCGGTGATGCTGTCTCGGGTAGACTCGGCGGGTCACTATAGCAAATGGCACATATAAGGGTAGCCCAATCAGGTCGCTGACCCGCTTCAAGAAATGGGAAGTGACCCACGTAGAGTTCGAAAAGGGTCAATCCTAAACTCCAAATATCTGCAGCAAATCCGTTATAGTTCCCTCCATGGGCCTCCGGGTCGAATCGTTCGGGACTCATGTACGCGCACGTGCCAACGTAGGACTTGCATGCTTCGAGCGTGCGGCACATGATTTTACTCACACCAAAATCTGAAATCTTAACCTCTCCCTTGGAATCTAAGAGGATATTCGCAGGTTTGATGTCGCGGTGTGCGATGAAGCGTTCATGAAGACCAGCTAGACCCTGGAGAATGCCACGCGCCACCACTCTGAGTCGTTCTTCAGAAAATGTGCCACCGGCGAGAGCGGTCTCAAGAGTTCCGCCGTCCACGTACTCCATGACAATTGCCACGTCACCCGACGGTTTTTCGAAAGAGCCGTGGAAGGCAACAACGTGGGGGCAATCTGTGGCGCGACGGAGGATGGAAGTTTCCGAGAACGCACGGCGGCGCGTGGTGGCGTCTGCGTTACTGTGGATGATTTTGAGTGCGTACGTGTCCAAGGTGGTCTTGTGACGGACTTTGTAGACTGTACCGCTGTTACCGTGACCGAGTACGGCGAGGTTCTCGAGGTCAGCGGCGGTGATGACGTCTCCGGCGGTCGGTTTGACTGTGGTGGGAGAGCTTCGAGAGACGGGGAGCGGAAAGCGGGGGCGGCGCTCGGAGGGCTCCGGGAGAGGGAGGCGGAGATTAGGGTGGCGGCGGTGGCGGACGAGGGCCATCACGGTGGTTGGTGGCGGAGGAAGTGTATCGTTGGATAGAAAGAAGTGAAATGATGTCTGAAGGGTGTGATGAGTTTATAGCGAGTGAGTAATAGAGAGTGATGGCTTTAGAAGGAAAGTGGATGGATATGGGGGTGGGATCCACTTTTTTGAATAATTTAATAATAAAATTTTAAAATGCATGCATATGGATGAATATTCACTGTGTTGAGTAGATTTTGTTTACTTTTCTTATTTTTGCACGTGATTAAATGTAGCCAACCTTTTACTTTTTATCTTCCATTTGAAATTTTAAATATTATCTTGAATACGATTTAAATTTTAGATTTTTTTAACTTTTAAATTTATGGGAAGTTTGTAATTGGCATGAAATTAGGAGGGAGTGTGCATGTTTTGATTATTAGAAATCAAAATTAGTGTTAATTGTGTTTATTGTTTATTATGAAAAAAAAATCATTTTTTCAATATATATCTTTTTTAATTACTATTTTACCATTTTAAGAACGGATAAAATATTTTCAAAAAATTAGGAAAATGTTTGATTTTGACCTATTTTTTAAATAATGTGGTACATATTAGAATAGAACATAAAATCTTGGATAAAAAATTTTGAAATCTGTCATGCTTCTTTGGTAAATAATTTAAACATGCAAGGACATTTAAACCAAACCTTTGGTTGGTGAAAGAGTAAAAAATTATTTTAGTCTATAAATTATTATATGAATCTTAGGACTGGTCAAATTTTAGTCTCTAAAAAATGATTGTAAAAACCATAGAGACAAATATACTAATTTTATTATTACATAAATTTGGTGGCTAAATTATAAATTTATGGCAGGGGAAGAAAATTGATTTGAGCATTTCTGAAGAATATTCTAACAGTTGTTTTGTCCTCATGTTTACGAGCTTATTCAATCTAAAGTATCTTCTACATTGTTTACGTTACTATTACGTAACTATGATTTTTCTCTTGCTACCAAATTAATGGAATATGTAAAGACATTAATTGGCCAAAGTTTTATTTTCTTCCACATTTGTTTTTACCTTACATAATGCTCCTTCGAGTGAGAAAAAAAACTTTGATATTTAAATTATTTTATTAATTTCAAATCTTTTGTTTAGATAAATCTTAACTAAATGTTTTGATAAAAAAACATGACACTTATATATTAAACAAAATAATATACACTTTATATATAAAAATTATTAATGACGGTATTGCAGGTGGTATAAAACCCAAATTATTTATTATTAATGGAAAAAATTTATCGTTTTTAAAACGTGGGGATCTTTTCAATCTATTATTAAAATGGAGAGGGTTTAAATAGGACAATATATATGGTTGGATAAGCACTATGAGAAACCAAAAATAGATAACGTAATTTTTATTTTATTTTCTGAAAAAGCACAATAGTGATAATAAGTTATTATTTCAATAATAAAAAAATATTTTAGTGTGGGTACATCAATAATTTGTGGATAGGAACAAGATTCCTTATTACAAAAAAAACATGCCCGAAAACATGTGGAGCATTACAATCTTAGGTAATGAAGAACACGAGCATTCACTTAGCCACAGAAAAAAACATTATTATTATTATTATTATTATTATTATTATTATTATTATTATTACAAAAACAACTAAATACCGAGGAAAATATCAAATTGGAATTGGTTGGAATTAGTTTGTGGTTGGATAAAGCTAATAAATGGTCCCAAAATCAAATTGCACAACTTGTTTGAGGGCTGCTACTGAGGCTCAAAACCATGCATTACTCAATTATAATAATTAACTGAAATTTAATTTATAAATGCTCATAATTTAAATTATAACTTTGTTATATATTACATTCTTCAATCAATAAAATAGAAAAATTATAGTATTTTTTTTTATTTTCAATTTACGAAATTCATCCCTGCAAAAGTAAAATTAAAAAAAATGTTGAGTTATGATTAGGTTGAAATAGAATTAGGGTTTATGTAAAGTTGAATTGTTTAGTTAGAAGAAGGGAAGAAGATGGACACATAAGTACCAGAATTGGGTCCATGTGTCCTTAAAATATATGGCAGTTGGCACGAGTTGCATCAGATTACAACGGAATCATTACTTTATGTTCCTTCAAATCTTTAAATAAACACATACAAATATTGCAACTTGACAAGTAAGAACCCATGCATGTACTGTATGGAAAAGAAAAACAGGAAATAATGGGCCATTGTTTAGCCTTCAGGTGTCCCAATCTTAATTATTGTTCATTGCGTTTGCACAAGGGACACGATTGTGATGGAAGTTATTTAACAAATCTTTTAATTCTACAGTTTAAGGTCTTTCAAGTTTACCATTAATTTAGGTATAGAAAATTAAGATATTAAAAAACTAGTTAAAGAAAAATAAAATGAAAAAGATAAAGTTTTGCCAAATGTATATACCTTATTAAATGGTGATAAATGGTGGTTTGATTGAGAGGGACATATAACCTAATGGCAGCCAGTGTTGGATGTAGATCTTTGAACACAATGTGCTCAGTCACTCCATGACAAAAACTACAAAAAGACAATAATGGAAAAAGGAAAGTTCATGCTTCTGAGAAAAAAAACCTAGAAGGGACATGTGTGTGAACCATCCTCTTAACTTCTAAAATTCATATGCAAATACTTTCCAAGAGTTTCTAGAACAATTCAGTAGTTCAACCAGAGAAAATTTAGCACTGTTTAGACATGTTATTGACTTGTTTTTTCCTCTGTTTTTTTTTTTAATTTAATTTTATAATTTTTAGTTTACCTATACATAAATACTCCAATGCAAATTTTAGTAATTTAGAATTTTACTTGGTAATTGTTGTTTTATTGAATACGTTTATCTGAAACTACAAGTATAATAAATAATTGCACCTGTAGTGCTGAATGGGATTTTTCTTCCTATCTTTTTTGTTCAAACATTAACTGATAATCAAACATCATTACTTCTAAAATAAATTATATTTTAAGTGATAATTACACTTACCATTGTTAAATTGCAAAAGAATAGTAATCAACACAATTAAGCAAATGATGTGTTATAGCTAGCAACAAAACAACATTCCTTGATTCTAAAATTGCTCTATCAAGCTAGGATAGCAACTGTGAATTTGTCATACCAAAAGCTTCACTAACTCAGTAATGAACCCTAACCAGCATCACTATCCCATTTGCAATAGCCAAAGATAATTACATTTAAGTAGACAATTTGGATCAGTGGAATCAATCCATGTTAATAGAAAATATCTTATGTTGCAGCCAAAGTTACAGCAACCTTATCAAACAAAAGAAAACTGAAGCTATCAACAGAAAGGCAAAGTACACAAATAACCAAAAACGGATATTTTTAGTCCTATTCACCAAATAAATGCAAATAGGACAGGGATTCCACAACATATCGTATGTCATGCCTGTAGTTTTTTTTGGGTCAAAAGTGAATGCAAGCTTGGTGACTGAACAAGTTAGCAACTGAATCAACACTCAATATGGTGTCTTTGAAGCTATTAAAGAATCATGTACATTAAAAAAAAAAAAAGTTGGTGGTACAGGATCTAGTAATCACAAACTTCTTAGGCGACTAAATGTCTCAGAGGACACTTTTATCTTTTCCGAGTTACAAAATAAAGATGCCAATGAATTCCAGACAGAAGTTTCAGGAAGCTTTCCCTGGCTTATCATGTCCTCTAACCACATAACTGCTTCATATTGCCTACCTAAGGAGCAAAGACCCTTAATGAGAGAATTGTAACTGTTGGTACAAGGCCAGTACGACTTAATTGACATTTTCTCCAGAAGTTGGCTTGCCTCAAGATACCTTCTTTCAGCACAAAGCATTTTCAGCAAGATGCCATAAGTATCTCTGTCACCTGCATGACCTACCTTGTTCGACATCTTGTTCAAGCTATTGAGTACAGCCGTGGAATTTCCAACATTGCATAGGTTATTCAAGAGAGTGTTGTACACTCTAGCAGTTGGTAGACAATTGACTTTCACCATGTCCTCCTCAATTACCTTGATTGCTTCATCGACCTTACTAACCTTGCACAATGCAGCTACTTTTGCCTCAAAGATACAATGTGTTAGTCTAAAGCCTTTGACTTGCATTTCCATGATGACTTCATCAGCCTCATCTATCTTACCTTCACTGTATATATCAACAACCATGGCATTGTAACTAGTCAAACTAGGAACTGAGCCCTTGATCAAAGCTTCATGAATCACACGTTTAACGCTTTCTATATCTTTGCCATCCATGAACTGGCCAAGTTCAGAGTGGTTATAGCATCGCTTCGGGGCCTTCAGCCCTTTCCTCAAAATTTTACCAAGAATTTCCACAGCTTCTTCATGTTTTCCAGCATCACATAAAGCATCCAAAAGAATTCTATAGATCACTATATCCTCACCATTACCTTTCTGTGAGATCCTCCAAAACATTGAATACAACAAATGGGTGGCCTCATGCAACCTCCTGTCCTGGCACAATCCCCTCATCAAAATTGCATAGCTGTCCCTATTAGGGTAGCAACTTTGATAATCCATCTCTTGGAATAACTGCAGTGCCAGATCGGATCGACTCTTCCGACAAAGAGCATACATAAGCAAGTTCAATGCTCGAACCCGAGACCTCACTTCCCAACCACAAGAGCTCTCAACAAAGAGACGGTGTGCCATTTCAAGTCGGTTCTCATTCACCATTATCTGCAACATGGTGTTGAAGGATTCTGTCCAATTCACACAGTTAAACTGAGGAATTGTCTTGTACAGAGACATTGCTTCATCTACCTGCCCGGCATTGGCATAGGTCTTAATAACAGACACAAAAACAGAATCCTTGCATTCACATGAATCCTCTCTCATCTGCTCAATTACATCCCTCATCTCAGTGAGCCTCCCGGATGTTCCAAGGATGCTAATCATGGTGGCATAAACAGGACCATTGTGGCAGTAATTGGGGTACCTAGATTTGGCTTCATTGAAAATGTGTAGAGCTTTTAATGGGTTTTTCTGGGTTCTTATAATCTGAGAGAGGTAGGTTGGTGTCAACACTCTTGGCCATCTTATGCTCATGGAATCTGGACACAAACCCTAATGTGTCTATAACTATTCTCCCTATCTATCTCAATTAATATGCTTAAAACACTTTAACTTGAAGTAAACAAGTTCTTCTAATGCAAACACACAATAAATTTCAATCCCAAATTAAAAGCATCAGTAAGATACCAAAGAAAAATAAAACTAGTAATAGCAATAAAATTAGATTGATAAATTGGGGTCGTAAGAAAAAAAAATATGATATTTTTGAAATGAAAAGAATAAAGACCTCAAAAATGGTGTTTGAATTTGAGCAAGGTTAGTCTTTTGCCTTCAATTGAGAAACTTGATCAACGAATGATTGATGGTTGGGTTCAGAGTTGAGGAAATAGTGAATACACTGAGGTAAACTCAGGAGTGTGACGAAGCCGAAGGAATGACAACGTGAGTGAACAGCTGAAGAAGAAGGTGGAAAAATGGGCCTATTGGATAGCTTGGTTATCATATGGGCCTATAAGGTGGGCTAAGTCCAAGAGACCAACTTTTTCTCTTCGTACCCGTTAATCTTTTAACAACTGGTTGAAATTGCTGATCCATTAAAAATAACCATTCAACTTTCTCAGTATATATTAATCATTGATTTTGATAAACAAGGAAGAAGAGAAATTACATTTGAAGATATAATCATAAATAGTCATGATTTTGATGTTGGAATACTTTTATTATCCTTTAGGTTTGTCCATGCAGCATATAATATCTGGTGGCAGAACCAAGATTAAAGGTAAAGTTATAAGAATAAATAAAATTATCATTTGGCATACATTTTCTTTTTACAATTCTAATTAAAATAAAACAATAAATATTTCTACGTGGCCATTCTTTTCACTTAAAGATAGCACATAAAGTTGATTTTTTAATAATGTTAAATATTTAAAATGAAAGGCACAGTGTAAGTGTAATCTTATCAAAGCTTTACAAATGATGGGGCATGGCAAAAGACCCTTGATTTTTTAGTTTTTTTTTTTTTTTATGACAACTCCCATTTCATTTAAAATATGAAATATAATCATATATATAGAAAAGGGTGAAAAAAAAAGGAAATGACAAAACCATTCAGGTATTCAATCATTACTTGCACTCATTAAGCATATTAAACTACTCAAGTATTGCACGTGTTAACTTTTCTATGTTTTTTTTTTCTTTCTTTTTCTATAAACAATCTCATTATCAAAGAGGGACCATTAAGCATGTCTAGAAGAAGCTCACTATCATGCTAACTGTAAGTGCCTTTGATTTATATATATATATATATATATATATATATATATATATATATATATATATATATCTGAGTGAAACCATAGATATTATCAAAGCACAAGCTTTTCTCTTATATAATATAGAAGCTAATAATTGGTTTACTAATATATGAAAAATGAATTTTCAGTGATTCTTGTTTGGTAATATTTGACACAACTTTTATTTGTATCATCGACGTTTCTGATATTTAAGATCTTGTAGGAGATCTACCAAGGACACTCACAAAAACCAACAAAAATGTAACAATAAAAGAATTGAATTGTGAAGTTATATTTGATGCAGAGAATTACTGTGGTGGAAACAATGAGTAAAGCATTAATTATTAATAAAAGAATGGTGTAAATGAAAGGGTACAGTAACCTTGCATGCAAGCAATATGTAACTCAATGTTGGAAAACCTTAACGACAAAGAGAGCCTCCAACTTCCACACGGTAAGTTCTAAAGTCAAGACAGCAATGAATACCCTTCTCTTCTGTGTGTGTGTGTGTCTCTCTCTCTCTCTGTGTCTCCATTAATACCAACTGCATATTTCATTCTCACAGTTCTTGCATCTATGCAGAAAACTCATGGTAGCTATGTATGGAGTACTGTAATAGAAGGTGGGAGAATGAGGGTGTGGGGAATGTTGCCTTGGCTCGAGAGATATATGATATGTTGTGTCCATGTCATGCATGCATTCAGCAATGCCAATGATTTATCAGCACTTGTGAGTGTTTCTCGGACCAGGCTTCATTCCCCTCACTCCCTCATCTCTCGCTAATTATTCTTTTTTTAATACTTTTCTTCATGCACATATTGCATGCATATATGCTCATTCTCTCTTCTTGTTTCCAATCTCTTACAAGTTTCAACTTTCACACATCACATATACAAGCTATATACTTATCAAGGTCATTTTATATTTATTAGCCTTTTGCTTTCTAACATTGAGGAGCATGCAGTACAATTGAAGATATACAGGGCGAGGCAAGACCATTTAGATTTAACAGCAGAATTCATAGAGATCATTATATTCTCACTGTGCAACTCTCCTTAGTTGCTCATGTACTCTATGATATTTAATGTACTCAATCTGTAGCACATCTTGCTGTTCTCTCCTTTATTGCTCTTTTATTTTGTGCTTATTGAGGAATGACAAAGAATTGGAATCAGATGATTGTCCAGCAAACTTGATTGGGCTATAAGAGTCAGACTAGGCTCTTTAAACCAGAGTTAAGTCATTTGATGGCTTCAACCTTGGTGGGGGTTTGAATGAGTTGGTGAGTTGATAAAATACACTTGCTACCTTCACATTGCAAATTCTTTTAGATTATTGTAACTTTTATATCTATGTATTTGACATACATTGAAAACATGCAAGTTTGTTATGTTATGCAATCATGAATTGTTATGTACAATTAATTTTTTATATACTCTGATGAAATAAACTCTCTTTAATTTTCAGAAGAAAAAGGGATTCGTAATTCTAGCATAAACAAATCAGACCACAGGTGTATGATACTATAGTATTTGTTATTGAGCTCATTTCACTGTGCAGGACATGCTACATCAGCTATTTTTTCATCAGTATCTTCATCCTTTTAACTGAAGGCTATGTTTCTGATTTTCACTCAGTAAGCCAAAGTTTTCACAATCAGTTTCCTTATTTTTTTTCTAGTTTACATGCAAAAATTTGCATAATCTGCAAAATAAACTTATTAATACACTAAGCATAATTTGCTAATCTCAGAAGAAAGTCTTGATAAAGAAGATGATCTCATCAAGTGGCTCAGTTGTCATGTAGCAGGAGCAAAAATTTCCAGCTTTAAGGTAGGTAGATCCAAGAGGTATATGTGTGTGTGTCACAATCTGCAGGAATTTTTGAAATGGTGTGATCCTAATTAATTTGATAAAAGTTCTAAGAAATGTGTATGATGAATATGAAGAATCTGAAGGGGCCTCATATTGAAATAATATAAATACTTGATAGCACAAAACAGAACTAGCTGAATACAGGTTCTAAGAGAAATACCTTGTCCTTATGAAATCAAAGCAATCTCTTCTGGCATTACATTTTGTTCTTGCTTTCATAACTGCTGTTTTATTTGTGTGTAGTTTCTATCATCTTGTTAATTATATATATATATATATATATATATATATATATATATATATATATATATATATATATATATATATATATATATATATATATTAACTATAATTTACTTTCATTTAAAGAATAACGTATATTTACTAAATATTGATGTTGATTCATGAAGACAATTTTTTCTTTTGTGTGTGATAAAGATAGTTGTTTTAAAATATCTAACCAAATAATTTGTCATATGAGATTAACCTATTTTATTATTCCTATAACGAAGTGATGTAAGTATTAATATTACTACTTTCTTAAACTAAATAATATTAAAAACTATTTTAAAAAACTTATAATCTGAAAATTAAGTTATAAAAAATGAACTTTTTATTTGTAAAACAAACATATATTTAATTTTTAATGACTTCTTCTAATATATCGAAATTTACAAAATAACATTCTTTTAATCTTTTAAAATGGAAATGAAATAAGTTAGAGTTTTCCTTTTTTTTTTTAAATACACCTTACAAAATTAAATTAAAAATTGTTAAAACAATATTTTACTTATACAGTATCGAAATTATAAGAATTAATACTCTAAAAAATGTTGTGGAAATGATAAGAAACTCCGCCATAGAACAGCAATTAATACATTCCGATCTTAACTTCTAAGAAAAGCAAAGTATTGAAAACAAAAAATCTTGACACATAAATCACAGAGGAAGGAGTAAGGAAGAACACGTCCAAGCAGAAGAAGACATGGCGTTGCAGTGGTTGATACTCACATATGTGGTCGCGGCTGAGGCTGCGGTGGCCATTCTGCTAACCCTTCCCACACCCAAACTCCTCCGGAACCGTTTCGCCTCCCTCGTTTCCCTCATTCTTCAACCCGCGCTTTTCATCGTCCCCTTTGCGGGATTCCACCTCCTAGGTACGCTCTTCTCTCTCTTCCTCAAATGGGTCTCTTTAATTTCATCTTCCATCATCTGTGTTTGCGCCAAAATCTGTTTTTTTTTTTCTCTTCGATTGGTGGTTGTCAATTGTTGCAGTTGCTCTTTATTTTGGGGTTTGTGGAAGATCACCCTTCTGGGTGTCTCTTGGGTAGTGAAAATTGAATCTTCCTCACTTTTTTCTTTGGGGTGGATTATGTTGTTGGGAGTTAGATTTGGAGCTAGCAGAAGGGAGTCGTCCTTCGTAACATGATAAATCAGGAATTGAATCCTGTTTGGAAGGTCTTCGTATTTAAAGCCAAATTCATCCTCAAACATGATTGTTTCGGAAGCACAATACCAATAAGGAAAAAAAAGAAATTTGGGAGATTGAAAATGGCTTAGATGAGTGTTTTTTTTTTTTTTTTTTTTTTTTTTTTTTTTAATATTGCTTGTGTGCTCATAGTTTTATATTTCTTTGGAGATCCATTGGATAAATGTATGGAACCTAGTGTTGGTTTTCCTGAATTTGGATCTGTGGTTGTTTTATAGATATATACTGGAAGAATGAGCATCGCTTGATGTGTACCTCTGAAGTTTGCACTGCTGCGGAGAGGGATCGATATGAGAAATCTGTAAGTATTTCCTGTGGATTTTAAGATGGCTTCATTGGGGAGTTTATGTTTTGCATTGTAAATTGTTGTCACTGTGTTTGTTTATACTTTATATAACTTTTGATTGTTTTCGTTGATACTGAGAAGGACATTTCATGATTTGAGGAATATTAGTTTCAAACTTAGAACAATCTTGGGAATATTGAATGGATTTATAACTTTAGAAACTATTGGCAATGAAGGTTTTGCTGCATGTTTCACATTGTTTACAAGTCTAAATTATAGTATAAAGGATTTATTTGACTGTCAGCTGCTTATCATTGTTTCTCATCCTCTTCAATCTCCATCTCATTTTTTTCTTACCCTTTACGATTCTTCTATTTAAAATTTATAGTCCTTTTAGATTATGGTTTGTATTAATTGAAATTATCATTTCCTAAGAGCCAAAGTTCCAGTATGTTCTTTGCAACATCTTTTATCATTGCTCTCGTGGTTTTTGGTTTTTTTATGTGAAGTTGATAGCTCCAGGGATTATCCTTTGATAACAAAAATGTCTCCAGCTGCACTTTTTATTACCCTTCACTTTGCCTGAACACTTCAGGTTATACAGTCTTCAATTACCTGAACAATAATACCATTTTAAGTCATGCTGTCGGTTGCTGATGCCAAAAAGTTACACTCCTGTATTTAGTATGCATTCTTGCATAGTGATTTAATCTGTTTATTCAATTTTTACCTTGTTAGCTATATATAATTTTTATTTTTGTTCTGTCATGTGATTCCCGGAGCCTACTTAACCTTGACATCATTTGCGTTCTTGATCAATCTTGATTTCTAAATTCACTTATTTCAATCCCGTCATCTTGCAGCATATGTTCCATATTCCTCAGGCTTTTGCACAAATTGTTCATTATTTGTGTTTAATGGTGTATACGGGTTGAGTTGGATTCAGCCAAATCATCCAACCCAGCAAAAAAATCTTGGATTGGGTTGGGTCATAGATTCTATAAAGTCATTTTGTTTATTGAAATTTATAATTTCTAGGCATTTTTTATTAGATTTATGAGTGTCTTTTTTAAATAGACTGGTATTCAATATTTGAATAATTTGATATTTAAAATAATATTTAGTTAATAGAATAATTGAATAAATTAAATAATAGTTATATTAGTATTGATTTTAATATTATTTAATAAATTTTGTTAGGTGAGTTGAATTGAGTTTCAGGTAGGACTAAATGGATTAGGCTCGGCGAGTTGACCTGCCTAAAAAATGGCTGGGCAGATTGGTGGTATTAGGCTACTAGTCCATTTTGAACCGTCCCATCAACTTGGCAAGCAGGGCGGGATAGGTTGACCCGCTTTAAAAAAATATTTATATATTAAAAAAAAATTATAGTTAAAAGTATTATATTTTTTTTGTGTTATGTTATTAAAATATGTAAATATATTATAATATTATAATTTAAATTATAAAAATTAATTAATTAAATTTAAATTATTGATTATTATTAGTTATTTTGGCACATAAATATAATATCTTTCAATTTATCTAATAAAAATATTAATTAATAAATAGGAACTTAAAAATTATTCATATAATTAAAGATATATTTTTTAAATAAATGTATATATAAAAAAATTATTTACGGGTTGGCCTATTGGCCCATCCTTTGGCGGGGTGGGTTGGGTTTGTGGCACATCTTGACTATAGCAGGCCAGAGATGGGGTGGACGGACTCGTTTTGCCATTTCTAGTTCAATAGATAAAATCCGTGATTAACTTGTAAGAGATTGAGTTAAATCAGGTTGTTAGGTTTGACCCAATCTATTTGGGTTAGATTGAGTCGGATTGATGGTGAACATAGTCACTTAACATTTTTAAACTGTCATTTACACTCATCCGGACACAATGCTTACTTCATTAATAATTTTCTTCTTGAGATATTGTTGATTATTTAGGGTTTCTCCTTTACTCCTTAAAAGTGTCTGGCCTCGACCAAATGAACCTTTTGGCTCCGTTTTTGGGTGAGATGACAAAGAGGGAGAAACATATGATGGGGTTGAGAATATGAAAGTAAACCAAATTAATGCTTTGATTCCAACCTTATGGTACAATCATCAATTTCAACCAATTGTAAATGATATTAGAGTAATATATGATAGACTTTATTATTAAAAATAAATCATCAATGGATTAAAGTTTGATATTATTGAGTTGGACGAGAGTTTTATTAGAAAAAAGCTAATTAATAAGGTTGTAACTCTCAAAATGAAATTATCTTAGATATTTGTGATTTGAATAATTATTGTTTTCTTTGAAGGGCTATTTTACGCAATGTGTTACTAAACCAGCTGATTGAAGTGGTAAGACCATAAACTGGTTATGTACTTGGTTTGAACATCAATATTATCTTGGCTTGATGAGTAGGTTTGATTTTTAAAACATTAATTTTAAGGATCCTATCCATAATTATTAAACTCAGTCTGAATTGATTTAAGCATTAGATCAATGGGTCATTGGTTTATTGGATGGCTAATGATTCATTGGTCAATCCACAGACGAATAATAAAATGAAGATTGACCAGAAAAAACTGTATTTGATTCATCTTTATAATGACAAAATTAATTTTAATTTTCAGATTTGATTTCTTGTTGATTTCCATAGTAAGAAAATTTTTCCTTTTAGCCCCTATACTAAAACATTCCCTTTGTGTCCCTGTACATATATTTTTTAAGTATATGAGTAGGGACTAAAAGGCGATTTTTTAGGAATAAAAACTAAAAGGAAGCTTTTTTAATTATAGGGACCCAGTGATAATTAGTGTGGTTCAAAATGCAAAAGAGAAGAAGAGTTTTAGCAATACCATGACATTTCCAAAGTAAATTAAATGATTTAGATTGTGTCAGTACGTGAGCAATAGATGAAGTTTTTAGTTTGATACCTATGCTTGTTTTAGCTTTTAAGGGGGAAAAATAGAATATTTTTTCTTTAATGTGCCAAAGTATTTTTGAACTCCAGTATTGTAGTGCAGTGTGAGAGATGTAGAACATGATAAAGTCTCTATTGAGTTAAGCGTGTGAGTGGAACCAAGTGTTTTGCTCAAAACTTCGACTCAACTGGTTCATTAAATCCCGTCAACTCTGGATTAATTAGCTGAGTTTCAACAAATGTTCGCCAGTTAGATGGCTCAAACTGGTTTATTGAGGTCAATCTGAGCCATGTTATACCTATGGAGAATTTGAGATGCTTTTTCAACCCAAAACTGTTAGCATTGATTGCTTCCATTCCTATCTTCCCTATCATTGCCATGTCGCTGATGTCAGGCTATAGCTAATGATGCTTTGGAATATTTGGAATGCTTTTTTATTAAGCATTCTTGACCTTAGAAATATGTGTTTATACACCAAACATTGGGTTTGGACTTTTTGGTTAAGTTGGACTAACAACATCAGGCTACATGACTTGTGCATGAGTCTTACGTTATTTGAAGATATGAATTGCCAGTTCTATCTCTTTACAAAATAAAATACTTCACATTATTGACTTTACATGACTTGACTCATTGACCATTTACTGGTGTTGCACAGATATACAAGGCTCAGAGGAATGTAATACTGTGTGTTACATCAATTCTTCTTTACTGGTAACAGTTTTATATTTGAATCTCTTTGTCCTACTGGTATAGATGGACTTAATTGCCTTGCCTTTGATACCTTGCATTGTGACTCATCCTTAATGAATGCATATATATGTATGTATGTGGTGACAGGTCTATCAGCCGTATTTGCAAGTATCAGAAGGAGGTGGAGAGTATGGAGGAAGTGGAGAAGAGATACAAGTCCCAGTAGATATTTGTAGTCATGCTTAGTGGAGGAGGAGGTCCTTGAGGCTACTTTAGTTGAGTCTAGTACCAGTGTCTGTGGACTTGCCAAAATGATGTACCAAATTTTACACTGTGATTACTCATTTTACTCAGCTCCATATTTTCAAATTCCAATATTTCTTTATTATTCTGTTTGGGAAGTGCTCTAGACTTCTATGTTGTTTAATGGATTTTAGCCTATATCAGTGGAATATTTTTCTTTTCATGTTACTTCGGTTTCAATGTGAAAGTTATGAGAATTGATTTTGCTACAACTCAAACTTGATTTTAGTAAAAATGAAGATGTTTTGTTTTTGTTAGGTAAAAAGGCTCTTGGTTCTAAGGGAAGTTTGGAGTGAATGATGGGATGTAAGAGAGTGAAAAAGCAAAAAAAGATGAGAATGATGAGAAGGGAGTCAAAATCGGATTGTTTGGATTAGGTGAATGAAAAAAGAAGGTAAAGAAATTGAGAAAAAAATGAGTGAAAAATGAAATTATTTAATTAAATATTTATTACATGATCGATTAATGTAAATAAATATAAATAAATATTAGTATTATGTCATTTTTTTTCATTTTTTGTGGGAAATATTTTTCTGTTGAAAATTATGACTTTTGTGTTCATTTCATTATCCAAACAATTAAATTCCCTTAAATAATTTCTTGCCTTAATAAAATTTCATTATTTTAAAACACTTGTTTTCAGGTAAAATATCTTTTTACATGAAAATCAATTTTGCGAAATTTAAATTCACTGAAAATTTTTTACACTTACTCAAACATACTTGTTTAGAGTCTCCACCTCCCTCTTCTTATTTATTTATTTATTTATTCTGTTTTTTACTTGAAGCCTATTTTTCACCAAAATTATGCTTCTCCAAATTTAAATTGATATTGAATATAAAAAAAAATTAAAACAATGTGACAGCAAAAGATTATCACAGCCAATGTGTTTGTTTATAGTGATTAATGTTAATGTTAAGACATGATTGCTTAAAAAATCAAGATTATCACTGTTACTGTGTTTCTCCTTCCAACCATATTGTTTCTATCTTCAAAATTTAAACCTGAGTCATTGTTTAAAAAATCTCAAACCAGCTCCTCTCATTTCAATGTTTTGGTTTAAAATATGCTTGAAATTCCAATCTAGAAGATGCAAACTAGAATGCTTGAAATTCCTATTCACTCCTCTTTTCATAATCAAATTGTAGTCCTAGAAAATACTGCTACAAGTGACAGTCAAATAAACTCACAAAAAATCAAAAGCTAGGAAGCACGCGTGGTTGAAAGTTGAGACCAGAAAATCTGGTAAATAAAATTGTAAACCATGATTTTAATAAGCAGTGATTCAACAAAAAAGAAACACCAAATTGGTCCTCTCAATCAAATCCCCTTGTCAAACGTGTCGGTGCAATTGTGGACTTTATTCTAGGCCTGCAATCTCATCAGGTCTAACTTCTATTTTCTGAGTCACACACGCATTCTCCAACAAGGACATAGGTTTCATCCTACAAAACATTTTTAATTAAACTCACTTGTCTCTCAGTTTAATTTCCAACGTTAATTTGATTGTTCAAATTTGAATTTTATGTTACATGTAGATTGTGTTAGTGCCTGTTCTCATGTGTGAATGCAAAGAAATGTTCCCATTTACACATTGTTATTTCTGTGTCTCCACTGTTGCCATACCAGTTTCTGCCTCTGGTTTATTACATCACATGCTTCACATTCTTAATCTTCCCAAGTCGTGGTATTGTGCAAAATGGCTCGTGAAATGTAAAAATGATGTCAACCTGAGTAGTGCTATTCACACTAAACCAACTCCTGCATTATTGCAGGGTAGATCATACTCTATCAGTTGCATGTAAAAGCCCTACATGACCTAATTTCTTTCTGACTAAACTCGGACAAAGTCATGATAGTTGGAACAAAAATGTCACACTAGAAGATTTGTCTAGCATGGGTTGTTTAAACAATGAGTTTACATGCTTTTTGACTCGTAGACCAATGAAAAATGCCTTTAATACATCTCATATAGTTATCCATGAATCTAGTTCAAATGATGTAGCATTTATTCAAAAGGAGTATATTCATAATTGTGATTGATGATGAAGGGGATAAAAGTAACAATTGTGTGCTTCATTGAGTGAGTATTCATGAAATTGATTTTGAAATGAAGTAATTTATGTTTGTAAATTTTACTCCAAATCCATGTTTGAAATGAAAGTAAGTTTATTATAAAATTTAGTGCAAATTTTTCAATAAAAAACAAAAGTTATTTTTTTTTTATCAATTCTAAATTAAATTGAAGTTTGGAGGAAAAAGATTACTTAAAATAATCAAATGTTTATATATTAAAATATTAAATATATGTAGTTCATGTAAAATTAAAAACTTTCAAGTTTAGTCTTTGTAAAAAAATCTTTATTTTTCATCTTATAAATTTTAAAATAACTGTTTTTAGTTTCATTTTATAAAATTTGAATTAACTATTACTAGTCTTATAAAATGTGTGATTTTTAGCTTTAGTCATTTTAAAATATTTTTAATATTCATCTTTTTAATTTATAATATTTATTTTAAAATAGAAAAATAATATTTATTTTATGAATATTAAAAATTTGTTTGAAGTATCACATGTTGATATTATATTATGATATAATATAATATAACATTAGTATTTGCCTTTTGAAATATCTTTTAATTAACCAAATAGTCTAGAAAGGATTTAAAACACTGATTTTCAATTTTAAAAAGAAAAAAAAAGTTATATGACTAAGTTAAAACTCACCAATTTTATATAACTAAAAAAAAACCTATATTAAATAAAATATATTTTTAGTTAGATGGGTAAAAGTTAAGATTACTAGATACATTTTTCAAAAAAGAAAAGTTAGATATTGAAAACTCTTCTTGTGCTCTTGCCATAAGTTCAAAAGAGTAACTTTTTTTTTTTCTTCAAAGCTCATTCAATTGAATATATAATTTCCAATTCACATGTCAAAAGCTTTGATTCCAAACAAGCTCAAATGATTCCACACTTCAACCATGCCTTTCTCTTTAGTTGGAGAGACTCTTAGCTCAGAATAACACCGTGTGTGCCAACCAAAGTTTTGTAGTAACACATAAAGGCGTGGCAATATTATATGAAGGAAAATGTGTGGTACATGAAGCTTCATCTAGTCTCAATGCAAATATTAAATATTTCATACCACATGATCAAATGATTCCACACTCTACTCATGCTTTTTAGAAAAAGGAATAAATTGAAGACCACTTTGTGCCTTAATATTTCCACACTTCAAACATGCCCTCCTCCTAATTTGGAGCATGTGCAATGATGAAGTCATACATTCAATAAGATCAATGAGACCCTTTTAGTACATAATAAATTGAAGTCTCTCATTCAATCATTATGATTAAGGATAAGCTTTTAATTAGACAATATACACTTACATGGCACTTATAAAAAATGAAGAAAACAGAAATTAAGAAGTGTAGTTAAACTTGAAAGGGGTAAGATTTCTGTTGGTCTTGGAATAGTCCAATGATCTTGGTGAAGATTTCAAACTTAGATCGGAATCATGACCTGAAAAATACCTAAAGTTTTGGCTTGTTCTAGCTTTACATGGCACAGCTACTTTAAAACATTACTACTCCAATTTCTTCATTGGAGTACTGTACCTTCCTTATCATCACCACCTACTCACATGTTATTTCAAAAGAAAACTCGGAATATTTTTATTGTTGCTCTATACATGAATTTTTTTCGCAGGTAATTTTTGTTTGACACATGTAAAACCTTTCATAATTACGAAAATTCAGGTTATAGTTTAACTAAGCACTTTCACTGGATCCAAACCAGTATGAATCTGTGTTAAACTAAGATCATATATGTCTTTTCTTTTTGTTAATTAATAAGACCATTCAGTATAAAGTTATTCAATATCGCAGAATAAAGCACTGGCACAAATCGTTTCAAGATATGAACATGTCATTCTCAATCTTATTGTGATTTACAAAAAGAATATATCATATTTTCCTATATGACAGATTGTAGAGATCCAATCGTTAGGCCAAAAAAATGTTACACATAATAATTAAAGAGAACTTCTAATAGAAAAATAATAAGAAATCTGAAGTTAAAATGATCTCTTAACATTCTTGTAATCTGAGTCTATGCATTCCAATTCAGCCCTGTAAGGATTCATCATTTTGAGAAGTTCAGTTGCTTTCTCCTTAGTCTCATCACCACAACCAACTTGCAACACCAACAGGAGTTTCTGAAAGGCTCCAACTTGAAGGGCCTCGACAAGGGTTCTTCCTTCATCTTTTTCTCCAAACTTGCACAGCTTCCAAAGGGCAGAGACAGAATAGTCTGTGGTCAATGGTGAAACTCTTAGAATTTTCTTCACCAAAAGAGGAATTGTTAGATCATTCCCACAAGCTTTGTTCCTTCCTTCTTCACTGCTGCATAGAGAGTCCAAAATTGCCAAAGCCTTCTCATACTGGCTCTTGTCCGAGTCAATGAGAATTTCAAGCAAAGAAGAAACCAAACCCAGTTCAACAAATGCCAATTTCATCTTCTGACTGGAATTGGATGAGGATGAGACCAAGTACCAAACCACCCTCAATGAGGCCTTTGTGATGGTTGGACTAACCCTCTTGTTGATGAACTCCACCAAGAGCTCATTGACCCCTTCAATTTGTGACAAGGCCTCCACATGCTGCACATCACCAAAGGAAAGAAGCTCTTTCAATGCCACAATGGACTTCTCTTTCCCTGAGAGATCTTGATGCTTCAAGAACCAAACCATGCAACTTAGAGAAGCTAAAGACCCCAAGGACTTGTGTGCCTCCAATTGAAGTGGAAACATCCAATTGAGGGCTGACAAAATCTCTTCCAGAACCACCACATTCCTCTCCACTGAGTCATTGGCAAATGCATCAAAGGATGAAGCCAAAGCCACAGGTGCTCCATTGTCCACTATGCACCTCTTGTTCCTCTCACTCTCCCCACCCCACTTCTTCATTTTCTGCACCAATTCAAGGCAGCCATATTGGTCCAAAGCCCTTGCTGAGTCCTTCACTTGCATCAGAAGCTCAGCAACCTCAATTGGGCTAATTGGTATCCTTGGTGTGGGAATCCTCTCCACCCCATGTTGCTTATTCTCCACACACCAATCTTGGATCATTATCCTGAGAGAATGGTTTGGAATCATGTCAAAGTTCCTCACAACCTGGTTAGTAACCGGACATGTGATGTTCCCTTCTTCAAACCACCTCTCCACACTCTCCCTATCATAGGTTATCCCAGTTGACAATGTCACGGGATCCTTCATCAAGTCAAGAGAAATTGGACACCTGAAGTGGTTGGGAACCACCAACTCCATCACGAGTTTGCCACCTTTGCTTTGCTTGCTGTTTCCCTTCCTCCTCCTCCATCCCAACACCATCTCTAGCAATCTGATCAACGAAATGAAAACTATTTTTGTGAGGTGATTGAGCTTTTTGGTGATCAAATTTGAAAGAATTTGGTGAGAAATATTCAATGGTCTTTAAGAAGGCTCGTTCTTGTATATATATTTATAGAGAATCACGACACACATAGATATGTCATGTCTCATGTGTGTTGTGATATATATAAGTACAGGGTCAGGTTCCTTGGTTTCATACACAAGAATTAGTGTGTTCAAAGTTAGACCCAAAAAAATTGTATTCTAAGAGAGAAGCATTCAAATTGAAAGAGAGAGAATGTATTGTTGCATATTAGGAAGAAGGGGTGAGGATTTGAATATTGACCATTGAAGATTTGAAGAAAATTTCAGAATAGACATAACCGTCAAAAGGGGAGAACGGGTAAAAGCAAACAAAAGACCTTCAAGCAATGCAATGTTTTTGTTTTGTTTTGTTTTGGTGTAGACTCGGTGACACACGCTTTCTAACTAGGAAATTAGACAAACACAACACCTACAACGTTATTTATTATGCTACGCGCCAACACCCTTTTTTGTTTTTACAATTTTGTTTTTCTTTTCTACTCTGAAATTTTTAAATTAAAGTTCAATTAGGCTTCACCAAACTTGCAATGTTTTTAAATTTTTCCTTATTTAAAAAAGATAGGTACTTTTAATCTTAATTTGATACAATGTATTGATATTAAAATTTAAATTACCATAAACTGAAATTTAATTCAGGTAATGACTAAAAATTATGAATAACTATAAATAAATAAAAAGTTGAATACTTTATATAAAAAAGTCATGAAAATATTTGAAATTTATTAAAATGTAATAATAATGTAAATTAATTTACATTATAATTTAATCTAAGATCTTTATTTATGCTAAGATGGTTGATTTTGATCATAATAACAATAATATTTATTACTTTAAAAGTTATATTTATTATTGTTTTTAATTTGTTGACTCTGAAAATGTATTAAAACTAATATTGTTCCTTCAATATATTAAGGAAATAAATTCTCTAAGAAATCAGATGAATGCTCAGTAAATTATATCTTAATTAAAATAGTTTTTGACTATTGAACCAAAAGATACCTTGAAAAACAATTATCCTCATTCGTTTTTAAATAAATACTTATTTTCTTAATTAATCAAAGTTTTCTTTAAAATTATTATTTTTTGAAAAATTTAGCAATTATAATATTATAAATAAAGAGTTATTTAATTTAATTTTAAAAAATCAGTCATAAAATGAAATTTATATTTCATTTATACGTTATAATTTTATGGATACGAGATTTTAAAATATCTCTTATATTTATTTATATCTAGAAGATCTCAACACAAGAAATTTCATCCAAGTCTAAGAAACTTTTATGATATAATTAGTCTACTTGGTACGAAAATTTGATTACGAAGTTGGTAAATTTCAAAACTAAATAATATACATTTGAAGCTTCACGAGTGAAATCAGCATGTGAATTAAAAATTAAAATTAATAAAAGTAAAGTCTCACCATAATAAAAAAGTAGACCAATTCTTGGCATTCTGAACACTACACTAAGATTTTAAGATATAAATAATTAAGCATGTAATTATTAATACTTTTGTAACAACTGATATGACGAATATTCCATAACAAATCGATTAATAATACTGAAGATATCTTTAATATTTTTTATTACAATAATATATACGATCAATTTTATATTTGACATATTGTTTATAATTTTGTCTTGTTTTAATAGATTAAGAAAATAGAGTATATATAAATTATTTTTTAAAATAATAATTAAATAGAATATATTAATAAAGATGTGGAGATTATTTTGTTATTATGTGCGTGATGTGATGTGATGCTTTCGTAATTAAATAATAATTATGATTAATAGTGTTGAATGGAAGTTAGAATGTCTTACACTTGTGAAGTCGGCGAACGCGGTGGCGTATCCACCGTTAAATTCACATTTCAATTTTAGGTTTTCGTGTGTTAGGGTAAAAGGTTTTTAAGTTTCATTTCATCGTATTTTAGGAATTTTAAATTTCAGTTTATTAATCTTTACCACGTTTTTTTTTTTTTATAAAAATAAGATCTTATTCACTGTTTTAAAAATTATTTAAATGTTTATCCTTTTAAAAATACATTTTATTTTACTCAACGCGTCAAAATGTAAAACTTGTTTTATATAATCAATTATATTTATAATTAATTAATTTTATTACAATATGCTTCACAAAAACGCCATTATTTTCGGCCTGCAACTTTCTTAAGTCATAGTTTTAATTAATTCAAATATATTCCGATTATTAAGATTACTTTGTTAAATATTTAAAGTTAATATTTGAAGGTACATAAATTACATATTTAGAAGTAGTACGTTTTTTAGTAAATTAATTAATTTAATGAAATATTCTTAATAAAATAAATAATTAAATAAAAACCTAAAATATATTCAATGTTTCGATACTAGGTTGCTACACAATTACTAAAATTTGAAGATTTCGATGTTGTTTGAATAAATAATAAATATTTTATTGTAACCGGCAATTAAAAATACAATATTAATAATTTTATATTAGTGAAAGTCCAAAACCCTGTAATATATTCATCTAAGTCCTAGGAAAATGAGTTGGCATGGCGATAGAAGTCAAATTGTAACACAAAAATAGATATAATATAGAAATGAAGTTAAATAATAGAAACCGTGATCTTAGGGCATCAAATCTATTTTATTAAATATTAAATAACAGGACCATATTTAATTTATAAATATTTTATTTATTTATCAGTTTTAAAAAACAAGATTAAAAATAATTTATATATATCTTTTTATTTAATTGATTGATGTGTTTTTTTCCAACATTGAAATATTAAAGCGCATCATATAATAAATTATAATTTTATAATCAATTATACCTCAAACTTCATAAATATAAAACCTAACACCCTCATTATTTTTTAACACAAAATGTTCTCTTTACTAAATTGAATTTACGTGTTTTATTTTTGTGATTAAAGAAATATAAATAAAAAAATACTCTCCTAAAATAATAAATCCAGATTAATTATAAATAAAAAACATATAAAGAAGTCCTTAAAATGTATAATAAATCTTTAAATTTAATTACTATAAATTTCCTTTAAATATATATTAATATTTATAAAAAAGAAAGTTATATTAACATGAACTTCTAAACTATGTAAATTTTTAGGTCTGTTGAAATAATATTATCATTTTAAAATGTCACTTCTTTTATTCATTTTAGACTAAATTGATTGTTGACTTTTTGAACTATTGTTTATCTTTATTGAATTTAGAAACTAACACAAAACATTCTATAAGTTCAAGATCAAAGAGATAATTTATATGTTTTATTTCATTTCAAAAAACTATTATTCTATATTGTGCAAAGTGTTGTATGGTTTTAGTTTGACCTTTTCTGCATATAAAATTTGTGTAGGGCATTGAATTGGTGATGATGACTATACATACCAACCAAAGGTGAAAGAAAGGACACGTTGGTCCATCTTTTACCAAACTAATCAAACTCCATTCTTGACACCTTCAAACCCTGCAATTCCATTGCAAAATACCCTTCATTTTTTTCACTCATAATAAGCCACCCCTTTTCCTTTTTATTTTTTTTTCTTTTCTGAGACCAAAGAAAGTTTTGATCTTTGACCTCTTTGCGTGTGTGCGTGCCATTAATTCTATTCCTATTCTTCATCAAATTTATATTTATTATGTACTAAAGCTTCTAAATTTGAATCAATCCTTTGCATAATGAATGAAGAGTTGTGTTAGTTTATTTTGGACTTGTTCTCTAACTTGGAATTTTTCCTTTTTCATACACCAAAACAGGACTTGAAAGATGAGAACATTTACTCATTTAGGATGCATTTGGTTTAGCATTTGCCCTAATCAAACTCTCATTTAATTGAATTTGAGTTATTCTTGTTTACACACCATAAATAAATAACACGGCACGTTATTTTGAGTTTCATTTTTTAACAAGTGATTCATATTTTCATTAAAAACACAAACGTTCTCAATTATTTTAGACAGAATATTCTCTCATTGTTTCAGCCAATTTTATGAACTTTCGTTATAAACATTCACATTTTTTCTTTCTTTTATCCCAGATTCAATTTTATAATTTATAGAAAATTCTTTATTTCATTATAGTAGCATCCAAAACTGTTTTGTATGCAAAAACATTCGAAAAGGGTTTCATACTATAAAATGCATCTAAATCTGATTGTAACACAAACTATCTCATGCATGAGAATTTAATAGTATAAGCTTATTTTTCACACAAAGAAATTCAAAACATATATAATTTCATCTCAAACTCAATCTCAATAAAAAATAATTTTATAAAACAAAAATCACCTAAAGTCAAGTTTGTAAATGTTGATTTCAAACACACAGTTATAATCATTTGAATGTCACATGGTAGTAGTTGAGGAGACATGTTTCACAGTCAATAATTTCCCAACTTTGTGTAAGTACGTAACATGCTGCAGCCACACGAGACAACTATGTTATTGTCAACTATGTACTATTTAGTATTTACATTTCGACCTTAACAAAATGTAGGTTACCAGTTTAAATTCTAAATCCAACACAACAAACCTAAATAGTAAGCCTCTCATTGTACCTAACATGAAAAAAAAGTTTAACTCTTTGGGTTTTAATAAGCTTGATAAATGACACTTAGATTCTATACATAAAAAAATAAACTATAAATTCTAATATATAAACCATTATAATTTTTATTTTATCGAGTTAATTTTATAAAATAAAATTAAATATTTTATTATTTTAAGATAATATCAAAATTAATGATAGAATTATTAAAAAAAAATACTTATTCTCTTATTCGACTAATATTATATTAAGAAACCTTATATTAAATAAATATATAATAATATTATATTATATAAGTGAGTAAATTTTTTATTTTATTAAGATAATTTTATAAAATAAAATTAAATCTTTTATAATATTTTAAGATATATAATTATTCATTTTTATGCCTTAAACTTAAATTTTTGTAATAAATAAAATGAAGGATTTTAGGTTTCTTGTCACTTCTTTAATGCATATTAATTTTTTTTTCTATCAAGATGAATATGGAGTCAAGTTTAGGGTTCATCTTAAATGTGTCTAGGGCTGCTTTCCAAAGTTAAAATATGAACTTGCCTGCTTGAGTGATGTAAAGATTTATATTAGGCTTAGACCAACGTCATAGTCTTTGACTTGAAACGTCTATTTCAGAAAAAAAAAAATAAAAAAAAAATAAAAATATATATATATATATATATATATATATATATATATATATATATATATATATATATATATATATATTATAAACTCTCTCTAAATAGGTTGGTAAATATATTTTAAAATAGGTAAACAGATTTTTACGTATTTTTCTTTCTCACTTGTATATTCTTTAGAAATAATTCTAATAAAAAGAAGTTAAACATTAAACGTTATGGGAATATATTCTTAATGGGTTAATACGATAAATATACTGGTTGAAAAATATTATGATTTTTGAATTTATGTGTCATATTCACAATAATATAAATAACTTAATTTGATGAAATTAGTTTGTTCTGTAGTCTATTCATTCATTAATTAGTCATATAAACGTACTTTATATCTTGAGATTACTATAGTGCGATGAATTTGTTTAGTTAGCAATAAGTATTATCTTAAATGTATTACTTTCATGTTCATTTTTATTCACGATCCTTTTTAATTTCTTTAATAAGTTAATAAGAGCTTTTTATTTTTTCTAATTATTTTAATAATTAACTATTATTCTGAAAAATATTACTTTATTATTTTTTATTTAAATTAGATATTAATTTTTTTATTATTATTTAGAATAAAAATTATTATATTATTAATTTAATTTAATTGATTAAGATTGAGATATTACTAATATTTAATATTTTATTATATTTTTATTTTATATATACATAAATAAAACATTAGGTATATTTTATATATGAAAAATGTATATTAAGTATATTTTATATATGAAAAATGTATATTAGATATATTTTATATATTAAAAAATATAAATAAATAAAAACCGTATACGGGTGATCTTTTATCTTCGTTCTCTTAATATCACCATATTTTAAATTCAGTGAAGTAGAAGTACTAGATAAAACTAAAAGATTTAACTTCTCTAATAAATATAGTTTTGGTAAATAGGTCTCTGATTTTTTATTTTTTATATTTTTGCAAATTGAACAATAATAAAGTAATAGTTATTGAACCACCAAGCTACCTTAATTATTGATTAAAATAATATTTAATTTTGAGTTTAATTAAACAATTTCATGCAATCACAAATTGATTGGTTATATAAGGAACAACTCCAAATCTGGTCAATCTATATCTATTATTCAAAAGGATTAGGCAAACATTGACACTTGTAAAACACAAATACATGTGTAAAAATATTTTAATACATTATTAGATTTGCAAAAGGACAAGATGAAAAAAATAAATTTTACATGAAAAGAATGTATTATAATATTATTTACTGAAAACGTTGTCTCATTTGTATTATTTAAAAATGTGTATAAAGAATTCAAAAATTGTTTAATAACCAGTGCGGAAGCACGGTGGTGCTACCAAAAAAACTGAGTTTAGCTGCAGTTGAATCATAAATATGATTAACTCATTTCCATTCCTCAAGATCAATCACAATGAAATATTTGATGCTCGTTACTACTACTGTCAAACAACCTTTTCAAGTTAAAAGGAGTTAGATTTCACCAAAATTTAAAAAAAGAAATGAAATAAACACCTAGATTTTTAATTACAAATAGAATAGTTATTATCAATCAAATAACAAATATTTTTTCTTTAATACTTCAAGATATAAACTTTCATATTTCTTCTGCACTAACGAACACGATGATAAACGTCTCGTTAAAATTAATGATCGGTTAGTGATAAAAAATACCTCTTTTTTATTTTTTATTTTTCAAATTAAGTTGAACAATATTGTCAATATAAGCTGTACAGAGAACAAATAACCTCTGAATTTACAACCTCTCAATCAAATTAGCTTATTTATGAAGGGGCAAAAATCATTCTGAACCTGTTTCAGGAAGATCCTAGAAAAACAAAACAAAACAACATACTCCACAAACCCCACCCAATTGACCTCCCTGACCTTCACAAATAATATGCTCCTACAAATTCATTGGAGCGATGAGTTTCTATCCACACATAAGACGTTCAGTCTCGAAGCAGGGTTACCAAAAGTTGGGAATTCACTCTTGTCTGACAAATGGTGAAGAACTCATTTCTGTACTGTAAAATGATTCTTCGGGATTGATTTCATATACATCATCATCCTTCTCGTCGTCCCATTTGATGATCTCCCTTATGTATTTGAATGCCTCATCCACTGACGTGCGATCCCGAGCACGAGTTTGCCCCACAAACAACTTCTGGCCAGTTAGGGAATAATAAAGCTCCTTGAACCTCACAGCCACATAGTAGTATGCTTGGTGCGCTAGGGCATGATTGTTGTGATGCGGTCTCACGGGACAAAAGTCCCCAAACCACTCACAAGTTGATAAGGGAACTTTGTTTATCTTGTCTTCAAAGGCATCATATTTATTTAGGAGAAGCACAAATGGGGTATCTTTAAAACAAGGATGCTTCACCAGACTCTCGAAAAGATCTTTGCTTGCCAGCAGTTTGTTACGAAGCTGACCAGTACTACTAGGCCACATCTGGTCGTAGTCACTCAGGGCAACACAAAATATGATTGCTCTCACATCTTCGAACATTTCCAACCATTTGCAGCCATCACGCAGTCCCTTTGAATTTATGCGAATCAGTTGATATCTGAGTCAATAACAATGTCAACGAGTTTAAGAACATGTTCGGAAGATTCCGTAAAATAAGAGAAAAGAAGGTAGAGGAGAATGATTTACTTGGTTAAGGGAGGAGGGCAATTGAGGTTTTCACTGTATATCTCGGACATTGGACTCCTATCATCAAATGAGAACTCCATGAAGGCAAGACCATTGCTCTGAGTGACTCCTTCGGCATACAATATATCCTTATCAGTAGGTTCATACTCGTTGCTTGAAATTTCTATTGCCTGTGAAGAATCAAATATAAGTAGACCTCTTGATAACAGAAGCACACAATGGAAGTCAATATATTTTAAGCTTGTTCTTTAAAATATTAGCAAGAGAGATATGACAAATTAAAAGTACTAAAAGCAAGACAAACAAAGTTATAAGTTAAAATATGAATATGCACATCAAAATATTCCTATTGCGTGTGCAAGATCACTTATGATTAGCCATATTGATAACATAACACATGATGGAAGTCAATATATTTTAAGCTTGCTTCTTAATTTATAAGCCAAGCACAAACAATCAAAGTGTACAAAAGCAAGACAAATAAAAAAAAAATACAAAAGCACGACAAATCAAATTAGTAAACCCTGATCTACTCTACTTATTATAAGAGCCAATTTTATAGTTATGCTACATATTCTTAACTTTTACACCGTACTTATTGACGGTTCAGTGCTTAACCTTATGTCCACACAAAAGTTAGCAACCACAAAAATTATGGATAGTGAACATCTTGCTCTATGTTTTCCATGATGGCAACATTATTATTAAAAAAAATTAAATATGCATTAAGAAGAAAGATATCAATTCATGCATTAAGAGACTCGTAGATCATTTTTCATTCAAGTTGCATAAAAGTACATAATTACGTGTTCATAAGATAGACATCTTCAAATTCATATAAATCTATAGACATCTAAAAATTTACGTGAATCATAAATAACTGAAAATATCAATTAATAACATCTACTAATCTACTCTCAATCTTTTGTTGGGATAATTTACTCTTTTGCTATATGGAAGCGACAATAGTTTCCATACTTTCTTCTGCTAAGTAGTTTAATGCTCCATAGATATTTGTGATTATGTGATGGCAACGATTCCAATTCCACAAGGGAAATTGTATTATTCCCCCCTTTCCCACTCTGAAATTCCTATATAACATATTTGTTTCTCTCTCTCCTCTAACAAATTTTCCCTCTCATTTATTACTTACAAATTAGTGCCTTTCCCAAAATGGAGAATCTGTCCCCATTAGCAGATCATTGGGCTTTAACAGTGCCCCTGTAAGTACCGAATCAGGAACCTACCATCAGGTATCTATTTATATAATGAGGGTCAGTTAACAATGATGAAAGAACATATAACCCTCAAGACTTATAGAAAGGATAATTAACTTAATGATTAAATTACCGCTCAGACCAAACAGTGACTCCTAGGTGTAAGATTGATTTAGATCCACAGTGGTGTAAATGAATCCTTACAGGCATATATAATCCTGATAGTAAATATTCAATAATATTATACTTATCAATGCTGCCAATGAGCCTAAACTCTACTGACAGCAAGGCGTTCCATTGGCCTTTTGTTCTTGGGATTGAATTAATTTCAGCCAACCACGTCAATCAAAAAGATCATGATAATTGGGCAATAGCCATGCACATGATACTTTTCCTACAAACATAAAAATTTAGCAAATATTAGTAACAAAACAACGCACCCTAAATGACCTTAAACCCTAGGCTAGAGCTTCATGAAAGGCTACATCTTGCTCCATTGATCGCTTCACGTGCAATATAAAAAATATGATGCAACCAAAAACTTTGTCAATTAGCATTGCACTATGAGCTACCACCTCCAGTAAATGTTTAAATGAATGGCCACCACCAGAAGGCAAATCCAAAGGAGAGGCCGTATAGAGAGAACAGCCACTAGGCAGTCTAAACACAAGTCCATAAAAGTTTTTATTCATTGTCTCTAAAGAGCTAACGTATTTGACCCATAAACCCTCTTAAATTGTTTACTTCTAAAAGATAAATGGAAACTTTTTAAATCCATGCTTTCAGAGGGAAAAAGACAATTTCGAAAGTGTTCCAAGCCAATATACCACTTACATATTCAAGCATCTTATTGGTACAACACATCCTTTCTAATTGGTTTCTTTCTATAGCCAGAAAATGTTACATTGCAACTCTTGCATATATTTAAAACTCACCGACATATAAGGTGAAACAGGTAGTTTGGGAAAGCAGTGACAGTGTTTCCAGCCACTTTGAATTAATTTCAGAATGAAAATGGCAAAATAATGCTTTTAAAGGACAAATATAAGTTGTAATGTAAACATAATTAACAGCTTAAGTGCAAAAAAAAATATACAAAAGAACACCAATTTATACTAATCAAGAAGCCAAAATAGTAAAAATAAAATAGTAGTCATACCCGATCCAAGAAATATTTAGCAACATCAGGAAGATTATGCAATTCCTCTCTCCTCTTATATGTTTCCTGAACAGCAGAATCTCTCCAGATCTCATCTACCATAGGAGCATACTCCCGTGTTGCAGCAGGGAAGAAGGCCTCTAAATCCCCTGTGGCCATAATATCTAGTAACCAGTCCGAAAAGTGCTTGAATCTTGTACTGATTGAATAAATGCTAGGCTTGTTTTCATCAGCTGCTGTTTCTGTTAAATTTAGTTTACAATTAGATTCACTCACAGAACTGAATCTTTCCCAAAGACAGTTACCAAAAAAATTATCAAATCATATCATCCACAAGGGGAAAAAATTACATGGTATCAAATTTCTGCAACTAGAAAATTGTTGCTTAAAAGAACAAATGATCCAATATACCAATCAAAACATAGTTGTAGCCAAATATGGGCAAGGAAAAGAACCATTGCCAAGACAACAGGCAACCATTGATAACGACCTTACTTAAATGATTTATCAAAAATTTGGTGTCAATTGATCCACGTTATTGACCCATGGAGTGAGATCGGCATTGGTGCTAGTTGCTATTATTAGTTTAGATTGACTTCATTGTAAAAAAGTTCAATATTGTCACACAAAATATCAAACAAAATTGTACTTGATGAAGCTTAATATCTTAATAACAAATAATGAATTTATTACACATTGGACCTAAATTGCAGACAACATTTAGCATATCACTAGAGTATCAAATAATTTCTTTTGGTCCAAAAGTTACCTTTTGGGTCAAACATAGGAAACATAAAGCAATTATTTTGTTCCCTGCTCTCCCCAAAGGGACTACAAGTTCTTCACTAAATGTTCCAATTGGACAACAATTTGAGACAAAACATGAAGAAAAAATGATATAGAGAGTGTAAGAAATAAAACAAAAGCCTTATCCAAGAGGGTAAAAGAGAGTGAAAAATACAAGGCATTTGTTGCAAGCATTAAAAGCATCACTGTATATGCATATAATATACATATGTAGAAAAAAGAAATATAACTAAAAATATGTAGAACAAATGTAAAAAGCTTCACTACTTATCATTTCTTTCATGACCCCTGACAGAAAAATCAAATTTAGTGACTTGACATTAGTAATAAATGCCATAAAATAGTAGAAAACCAGTGGCACTTCAGCTTAAAGAGAAACAGTCCCATCAGACTATGAAAGAGGGAAGAAAGGGAAGGAAAGTAAAATTATACCTTGTACTAGTCCAGATCCTTCACCTTCTAATGAAGTAGATTCTCTCTCTGTGAGAGCTTCCTCTTCAAACTGCTCTCGTCCTTCAAGCAGAATGCTGAGATACTTGTACATATTGCTTTGTATCATAAGCTTGATGTTTTGTAATTCTTCCGTAGAAAACTTGTTTCCATATAAAAACTTGGCCTGTTTAGAGAAAATGAAGGAATAGATAATTAGAAATGACAATATGTAAAAAATAAAATAAAAAATAGATAAAATAATAGATATAAAAAAGAAAATGTGTTAAAATCACAATAACAACAAGAACTAAAGTCTGTTCCCCCTAAAGTGTGTAATAACCAAAAAACTAAAATTATGCAGTTTCAAAACTATCTCATGCCACATGACTCGAAAAAGCCATCCATAATGAGCACACGAGAAAGCACTAAAATATAAGGTAAATTATCCATAAGTTGAGACATACAGATTTGAATGCATCCAATTTCTTGTTTAAATATACATATAATTTCTTAGTACGTATGCATTCTGCAAACATACATAAATGGGTATTCATTGGCACATTACGTGAATCTCGACAGGCACACAGAACATTCATACATAGAACCGTTAGTATATGCATGCACGTATCATCCGTACTTAAGCAAATAATATACAACGTATATTTGTGAGTGTGGTTGAGCACCAGTATATATCTAAATTCCTAATAGTCTGCTTATAACTACATTACTAGCAGTCTACCAGCCTCCAGTGCACTACGAATCCTATACATAAACTGACTCTTCACTTAAGTCCTTTACCAGTCAAAAAGGGAAAGCCAAAGATATTGAATCCAAACCAGCCAGACTAAAAGTTAATAAGCACAGAAAGGTATGAATTCATGCAACTATGAGAACAACGGGTGAGAGAGATGGAAGAAGTGAAACAGAAAGAAAATAAACATGCCTGTTTGAACAGCGTGGCTGTTCCAGACCCTTCCATGCCAAACAACAAAAGTTTCTGAACTCTAGCTTGATCCAAATAATCAGGCACGGATCTTGTTGAATAGGTAGTTGAATTTTCTTTGACCCCAGGAGGATTAGCAGGAGGTACAGGCAGTGAGAATAATGAACAAATGAAACGAGTGGACGCCTGCCTACCATAAACCAAACTAATATTGTATAAAAAACAAATCATGAAGACATACACTTTCAAGCCCAAATTGAACAGAAGATGTATTTTATTATCAGATAAGAGAGAACCTTTCCCCATATGTTTCCCTTAATATTATTTTGCCCTTCTTCTTCATAAGATCCATCTTCATAAACCCAGAAATGGGTATCTCGTGGACATTGAACATTTGCTAGCTGAAATGATAAACAACAAATGACAAATAAACCAATGACGAGATGATAAAGGCAACATATTACAAAAGTGAAACACGAGCTTAATGGTATTTGGTTGAATCAATAGGGAAAGAAAGAAAAAAAATTCAAGATTTATTTCACTTGAGATGGCCTAAATGCATTTCAAAGAGGGAGCAGAACTGTCTACTTAAAGGACCTTGCAGCTTGCCTAGCAAGACAAGCTTTACAAGATCTTAAGTTGTTTTCGAGCATAGTGTTTACAATATACAACATCAAAGAGATAATAAGAGAGCAGGAGAAGAAAGAACTTCGTGAAAACCGGCATTTTAGGTAAAAATTATATGAACCATCGTAAAAACCATGAATGAATTCTTTATAAATCGAATCTTAGGAATTCATAATTTGTGTCCAACTTGATTGTTAATTGTCAACAAGTAGAAGTTATGGTTGTATTAAAAATTTACGAATTTAGCTGGATGCACGTGATTCTACATTTATAGTACACATTAGTAATCAGGTAGTTTAAATGTTTGAAATATTTTCCCTTAATTTTAAAGGAAACTGCTAAGAAAAAAATTAATGGATGTCCAGGTTTAATATACACGAGCTATTTTGGAGACAATATTTTACACTGCACAGAGAGTAATTTAAGTAATATCTATTTTCTTAATATAGATAGTATTTGGTAAGAATTTGATTAATAACAAGTAAAATCAAAACACCTAAATTCCTAGAAACCAAAATGGCCATAAAATGACTGATACTAATACAGGTCCGCATTCATTTGTGTTTTTTCCTTAGATAACCAATTGTCTAATAAACTTGCGAAACAATACAACAATCTATTAGGGTTCCCATATGGTAATTCATACACAACCTCAGTGGAAGCCCAAGCAAAAACATAAGCATTGACGCTCAGCTAAAAAAGTTAGTACATTAGCTAACTTCCATGCTCAACTATTTCATTAAGAACCAAATCCAAGCCAGATGGAAGTAGAAATGTGACTATTGATTTGATTACCTTTAACATTCTAAGCTCAATCTTAGTTATTTCACGGCCATTCATGTAGACTCTAGTATTCCCATTGCTCGCATCCGTCTGAAGCTTTCCTCCAATATTTAGCTTCGAACTTATTATCTTATCAGGCTTGTCTCCCTCCTGAAAGCAATCCATCGCATCCAAATTCAGTACAACAATAAACGAATCCAATAAAAGTAGTTTCTATATATAACCGAGGGCAAACACAAAACACCACATATTGAAACATTAAAGTTGTTAGTATTTTTCCATTTTCACCTTGCCCCAAAGTCCAGAGTCCTTATCATACCAATACCTCCCGGGCTTCAACTTCTGAGGAGGGATGGGGCAGCCCAAAATCTCAGCCAACTCCTCTTGCCTCAACTGCCTGCCATTCACAATAAGCTGCTCCGGACGAAGCTGATTAGCAGGACACTCCTTTTCAGCCTTCATAATCTGATTAATCTCCAAAGAACTACAAACTTTCGACAACATTCTAGAACACTTCCCCAAAGTTGGCCTCTTAGATTCATCAATGGGCTTCCCAATGCAACTCACGCATTTTCTTCCCTCGGGCATCGACCCCATCGCTTTCAGCACACAGTTACTACAATACCTTGAATCACACACCAAACAAGCTTCCTTCTCCTTCAACCTGTTACTATTTCCGCATCTGCTACAAATCCATCGCTTCTTATTCCGAGACGGCGACGCGCCCACAGGCGATCCCACCGGCTCCGTCGCAACCGACCGCGGGGACGAATAACCATCGCCGTCCTCGTCTTCGGAGTCCCTCGGAGTATGAAACGTCACCGTCGTCGGACGTTTGCCCGCTCCGGCACCGCTGCGCTGTACCGGAGCCGAATTCGGCGGCGTCTGCGGCGCAGATGCCAACTCCGAGGCTGAGCTTGCTCCGTCGTCACCGTTTACCTCGCCGGAATCATCGGAGCGATAAACCACCTCGCCGCTGCGCGAATCGAACTGCGACTGAGACATGGAGACCGATGACGACCTCCGGCTCTCCACCGGACTCTTCGGCGGCGGCGGCGCGCGGTCGAAACCGCCGTTGCGGACTCGGCCGAACCGCGAGAACCGCGGATGCACAGGCATGGCGACCGGAATCGAGGCCGACGCGTTGTGATCGGAGACTACTACAGCCGTTCGAATCGGAACGGCGATGGCGGAGGCGGTGGCGCCGATTTCAAGCGGATCGACCTTGGGAACGTCGTAGGGAACCGGAGGACCTTCGTACTCGATGGCGATGGAGTAGTCCAGATGCTCCTCGTCCGGGAGCGGCGCTCCGGCGGGGAGCATCCGGCGGAGTACGTGCTCCCAGGATTTGTCCTCCTCGGCGGATTCCGACGCCATTATAGGGTTTGCGGAGAGCGTTTGGAGGACGAGAAAGTGCGGGAAAATTAGAAGGAAAGTGAAGAATTCGAAGGAATCAACGAAAAGGTTTCATCGTCTTTTGGATCAGAGAGAGAGAGAAAGAGAGAGAAGTAAAAGAGTTTGTGAGTGTTGAGTTGTCAGCAGCAGTTGGAAGAAAGTAAACGGAAGCCTTTAACGCCAGACTCGGTCACTCTTCACTGACGGTGCCCGCATCCGTTATGTTTGACGTCACCCTGATTACACATATATGCATTTTTATGACACACTTATGACATTGGCATGAGTTAACATCAACGTCTTCTCTCTGAATGAATATCTTACTATATTGCTTATTTTAAATTTTATAATTAAAAACTTCACATAACAATTATTTCAACGTTAAAATTGGTAGTATCTGAGTTTAACTTAAATTATATTGAATTATGTGATTAAAATATTTATAATATAATTAAGTTAAACAATGTTACATATTTAAACGCTCATTTAAACCATAAGTAATTTGTTTTCATAAAAACTTGTCTAAACAACATTGTTTAATTTAAAAAAATCCGTTTAAACGTAAAATATTCTTAATAATGCAAATAATTTGAAATTTGAAATAAAACATAAAAAAAAATTATTTTAAATTTTTTTAAGCCAATAAGAGAAAATATATAGTGTTTTTTTTTCTTTCTTAATCTAAACATTTGTTTTGGTTTGTATCTATAACTAAAAAACATAAGATGCTTATTAATATTGGATGATATTGGAGTACTGTTTTTTTTTTTTCTTAATTCTCAATATCAATTATTGAAAAAATTTATTTACAGTGTCAGTATCCAGTTTTTACCAATAATTATGATTAAAAAGTAATTATAAATATATACTTCATACGACTTTATATTTAAGTATAGAAATTAAAAATTATAAAAATAAAATTAAAACCACCAATTTTACAGAAAATAAAAAATATATTTTAAATAAATAATGATATAAAAGTGTCTAATTGTCCACGCATAATTTTTTTTTATACATTATATATATTATTGGAAATACATGTTATGTGTGTTTATACTTTCTAAAAAAATGTTACAAAAATAATTATTAAAATATCAAAATTTAAAATTTAAAAAATAATTAAAAACAGTTATATGACATTAAGGATAAATAAAAAAGGAATTATTTACAAAATTACACAAATTAATCTCTTTATTAATAAAAGATCAACCATATAGATAACGAAATTATTTTTTACGTATTAGTATTTAAGATTTATTTATCTCCATTTATTATTGCACGTATATATTAATAACATTACTACATATTTTACAGAATAATAATCAATTAATAAATATTAAATAATATTAAATATGAATACACTAAATTAAAAAATAAACACCAGGACTATTAATATTAAATATCAATATTATTATATTTGATATGGCATGAATATATTGGAAGAGTATTAATTGTAAATGCATGATAGAAAATTTTTTAGTGGAGTTTTTTAGTTTAGTGATAAAAATGGTAACATTGGTGTAGTTATGAATCATTAAACTCCAGTTTAGTCAAATATGTTTTTTATTTTGAAAATGCATTTGAATTCCAAATTGAAAATTTTGTTATTATTCCAGATAAACAGATAACTATCAATTTAATTTGTGAAGATTTTAAATAAAAAAGAAGTGAAAGTTAAAAGAAAAGCTAGAGAAACATGGGAAAATTAAATTTACTTTAAAAAAAATAAATTAAATAAAAGTTTAAGAAAAGTAAACTGGCACAATTCAAATTAGAGGAATGAAAAATATAATTAAATAAACAATAATAATAAGAGGTTATACTTTAATGCATGCGTTTGACATAGCTAGGTCAAATCCTAAGAAAATTATAATTTTAAACCATTTGAATGTTATTTGCTATAGACACAACAAACTACTATTTTTATTTTTTTTCTGTTCAGATCCAAATGTTTGAATTGGCCTAAAATATGACTTCTTTTGACAAAGAGATTGATTCTAAAAAACACAGAAGAAGTTAGTGTTCTCATTGTTTTCATGAGGTTTATACACTTGTGAATTTTAAGGCTTCTAAATTTTGATGCACAACAGGCAATACATTTGTTTCCATTTGATATGAGATCTCTGAGTCAATTTTAAAAAATGGTTTTCATGTTATGCTTACTTGATCAAACCATTAAATATTTCAATCAGAGTAACACTTCTTTTTCTGAAGAGCCTGCAATAATTTAGTAGAAGGAGACACTGTACAGAAGCTTCCGCCTATGTTTACTCTCAAAACCAGTAATAATTTCATCAACTGATTCCTCCCATGATTCAGCAGCTTCAATCTGTGCATAAAATATATCAATAGTAAGCAACGAAGCATTGAAAAGAAAGAGCCAAAAAGAGCCATCTTCATATCAAAACATATAAATAGAGCACTTGAATTTAGCATCAACAGAAATGTACATATACTATGAATACCTACCTCCTGACATAGATCCAAAGTAAGCTTTGCTCCCGCAGCTGCTTCCTCGTGGTTATCTTTTACCTCCAAGTTGATTACCAGCACAGTTTTCAATAAAACATGATCTCTATTATGGAGATCTGCACATTGTTGAAGTTAGCTATCAAGGCATGACTAGAGAGTCATTAGACACAATATGGTCTTCATTTCACACACGTATCAATGCTAGAGTTTCCATATGGTCAACAACTAGATAGATACAACAAAAATATGCATGGAAGGACTCAGAAATTTACTAGAAAGCCTACTGAATTTGAATAAAACAATAGCTGCAGCCAAAGCTAGGAAATGTAGCTAAAAACTAAAATTTAAGAAACATCAAGTAATCAAGTACGCATTATTATCGTTTCTGGGAAAACTATATAATCTGTCCACTCATTTTTATGTCAGACAGAACGTACTTCAAAAATGAATATGATTAAAAAAAAAACAGCTTGACTAAAATCAACAAAAGATCAGCCAACATTCATAAAAGATAATCTTAAGAGAAACACACAAAATTAGTTCACTTCACTGCATTTGCAACTCTGTTGTTAAGAAAAATAAGGAGATAGGAAAAATAAACGATATTGCAACCTCCCAGCAAAGTAAAAATAGTTACTCAAATTCCAATATCCTACCAGAATATTTTATATTCACTAACATCAGAGTAATCAACAATAAAAAAACTGAACGAAACAAATCAGGACGAATTATTAACCTTCAATAACCATATCGAACACTTTTTCTTCAAACGTCAACACCACATCAAAGGAGCCATCCGCAGCATTTTCTTGCCACCGTTGTGGTGCCAATTTGACTGTTGCATTTCTTTTGAGCATTGGCAAGATTCCATTTCGTCTGTAGCTGTACTCTAGTCAAGGTTTCATCAATCCTCCACACCACAGAGAATAATTAACAAGAATGCAAGTGCAAAGTAAACTCAGTACCCAACACGCAAAACAAGAGATAGGCATATAAATAACATTAATTATTGCATTCCTCAACTCAGTATCTTACTCCTTTTTTGTGTGTACAATGGCAATGAAACTTATACCTATGACCTCAGACTAACTATCCAAACCCCACCATTTGGCCGTATCTTTACTCTATTAACTTCAACAACACAAGATCAAATAAGACCTTAACAATATTACCCCCTTTAATCACTGCATAAAATTCACACACCACTTGGTATTATGGTGAAGAAAAGTTGCTCACTCCATCAAAACTATCCCCACCAACTGTAACAAATGCAAAACAACTAATTTGAATTTTTAAACACAAGTTTAATTTCTATCTCCTGTCAGCATAAAAAAAAAAACAACTTTATATTGCGAAGCCATTAAATATCATACAAGTACAACTTCAAAGATAACTGTTATAAATGTAAAAAATACTCATCATAAGTTCAATATAAAAATCCTTTACACCCACAAAAAAGAAGAGCCCAAATCCAAGTTTATGAGCCAAATTGAAAAGAACAGAGCTTGTAAGAGTGAAGTGATGAACTGAAAAGATTGATTTTTTTTTTTTCAGTTGAAGCAACCCATGAATTGGGAATTTGATTTTGGGGGTTTAAAAAAGGGTAGAAGGTAAGTAGAATAAAAGAGAGAAGAGGATACAGATCAGAGTCTTTTCTGCGGAGGTCATCGTGCATGTGCTTGTAGGGGGTTCCAAATTCGTAGACATTGGGTTCCCACAGGGAGGGACCGGGGAGCTTAACGTGGGCACCAGTGCCGTACGAAGATACGTCGAAGCCCTGTCTCTTGAGCAGGAAATGAGCCTCCATGCTCCGGTTCTGGTTGGAAGAACACACCATTGCGTACCGAAACTTCATCTCTTCTGTTATGTTCTTCTTTTAGGTTTTGGCTTCTTTCTTTGTTTCTTATTGTCGATGTTTGGTTGAAGAAACTGGGATATTGATTCGAAGGGAAGAAGACACATGACAGAACAGACTCTCAACAGTGGATTTAGGGCACACATTTAAAATTGTTTGTTCCTAATAATTTGAAAAATATTACCAGAACTTAATAATTATAAAATAGATTAATTTAAATATAAAAAATTTCTGATTAGCTATGTCTTCGTATAAGTATTCTTCAGTTAATTAAAAATTTATTTTTAACAACTTTTTATTTTTACTGTTAAGTTCCAACGAGGAGCACGATGGGAAAGTATTATTTTTATAATTAGAATATTAGTTTTGCATATATTTAAATTTAAAAAATAAGTGTTATAATTGGTTTAAAGTTTTGTGAGAATCAAACCACAATTTAAAATTTCAATTTTATATCTTTATGTTATAAGTTATAATTTATTTACTATTTAACCATTCATCATATTTATTAACCATTTATAATCTTTATTCAACCATTTTCTATTTCAACTTTCAAATTTTATATATATATATATATATATATATATATATATATATATATATATATATTACAAAAACCTTTAGCTAAAAATAATTTTATATTAAAATAATATAATATTAATATTTTATTATATTAAAAGTTAAAATCACTTATGAATATCATTGTTACTTCAAAATTAAAAATAAGATAATATATTTATAAATTAGTTTTATTAGCATTTTATTTTTCATCATTTGTAAAAAAATATCATACAAAAATAGATAAAAACATATTATATATAAACTAAAATGAGTTAAAATATATTTTTATCAGTAAAAATTGAATTATATATATAAAAGTGTAAAGTTTAAATATAAATACACAATGAGGACAATGGTATATTTAGACTTTTTTTATTAAAAGTTTATTTGATAATTAAAAAAAGTGTAGAAAGAAAATAAAAGAAAAAAACTAATAATATAAAAATATTTCTATTTGTTTTAAAAAATATATTTTATTTCTAAAATAATAAATAATTAATTAAAATTAAACATTTATTATAACTATTAATTATTATTTTATTAATAAAATAATTTTTAAAATAATACATCCAATATAATATTTTTATTATAAAATTATTTTTCTAAAAATATTTGTATTTAAATTAATAAAATAATATCATATTACAAATAAATAAAAATATATTAAATTATTTATTTAATTATTTTTATATTTTTGGTATTTTATTAAAATAATAATTATATATTTTTATAAATTATAACTTAAAAATAATTATTATTTATTTGAGCGGATATAATTTTATAAAATATTTTTCATTTTTTTCATTTATATATAATAATATATAAATTATAGTAAAAAAATATATTTTCTTATATTAATATTTTTATTTTATACTGTTTCTATTAAAGAACTAAGCTTAATGTTTTTATAAAAATAATAATTTACATACACATTAAACTATATAAAAAAAAATCTTTTAACTAATATAAATTGTATTGCAAATATAAACCACTTTGTTAAAATACACCAAAACTCCCTTCAATATATATATATATATATATATATATATATATATATATATATATATATATATATATATATAACAAAATGTTTAACTAGAACCGAATATTAAAATAAATTTTATATATGTGTGTTTTTTTTAAATTATTTCGATTTAATCTCTCTTCGATCTAATCTTGAGTTATTTTATCTCCTGTTTCTTTGTATTGGATTCCATTTTCATACCTGTGTCCTTGTGGAAGGTAGGTATGGTCCTTGCTTCATCTTCTTCCTTTCTAATTATATATAAATTTTTGTTTTATGTGTTGTATTAAATTAATCTTTGTTTACCATTCACTGCTTTCGCAGAGCCGCCAATGGAAGCGGCGGTGATGGCAACAGTTCTCACACCACCCTCCGCTCCGCCTAGGCGGTCTGTTTTCCTCGGAATACCCTCCTCACTCGCCTACCCTTCCTGTCTTAGATTCTCCGCTAAGGTATGTAATATTTTTTTGGATTACGATTTGAGGTAGCTAGTAATGCATGTTATCGATTCTAAGAGTAGTGGTTTTCATAAACTGTATTTGAATTTATTTATTTATTTCTCATAACTTAGCTTTTGTTGTTTTGTTTTTATTGATGATGATATTGACTTGAATACAATGTGTTGTGTTGGGGCTTCTGCCTGTCACAGGAGATGAGAAAATACAAGTAATGTGTTTTTCTTGTAAAAATGTGTTTTTTTAAGGTTTTGTTTTGGACAAACTTCTCCAGTAGCAGAAGAAAATAAAAAGATAAAGTGAGCTAAATTTAGCTTGTAAACTAAAATCAACTTGTTGTTTCAACTTTTATTATAGAAATTGAACAGCTAAAATCAATTTCTACACTTCAGCTTTTATTGTAGAAGTACGCTCATTTAACTTTTTTTTAAGTTATAATTTATTTATTTATTATTTATAAGAGAAGTTTAATTCATTTTTCCTTCTTATTTTCTTCTCCTTCAAGCAGGGACTGATAAAGTTTACTCTGATAAAAACTTTATGATCAGTTGTTTTTAACATGTTTTATTGTATTGTGGTTATATGGTTCAGTTTTAAAAGGGGTTATACAGAGCATGTTTGTGTCTAATTTGATTCTTGCACAAATTATATTGGAGCTATTCTTGTATGATTGGGAATTTGTGATCCTGATGTCTCTTCTCTCGCCTTGTAATTTTTCTAGTGTTTTTGGCTTGCATGAGTTATACTGTTCAATGTGTTTTTGTCAAATTTTCATTATTACTACTATTTATTTTGTTTGTGTTGCATATAAGAGGTTTTAGGGATTAGTTATTTGCTTTCTGAGTGTCCTTGGTGGTTGTCAGTTGAGCACTTTTGTATCTATCTCCATCTCCAACCAAGGTCATGGGAGACACAGCGTTGGAAGTAAAAGGGGTTTTGTAGTTAGAGCTGCATCATCGTTTCCAGAGTCATCTGAATCAATTTCCAGTATTGCTCCACTTAAGCTTGAGTCTCCAATTGGGCAGTTTCTATCCCAGATTTTAATGAGTCATCCACACCTTGTGCCTGCTGCAGTAGAGCGGCAACTTGAGCAATTCCAAACTGATCTTGATGGTGATAATCAAAAGAAAGTGCCCTCTGCTTCAGGCACTGACTTAGTTCTGTACAGGTATGCTTTATACTTGATATTCTCGTATACTTCTAAGTGTAATTTATGACCATATATTTCTGATATATATGGGAAACAAGTTTCTTATTATTTAGTAAAATTTAAACAAAAGGCAGTCCATAATCCATATATACAGAAATTTATGGTTCTCTACTCATGCATTGGATTGAGCCCCTTAATTGGTTGATGCTACATTTTGCCCAATGGATAAGCAATTATTTTCAAGTAAATTTACTTGTTTTGCTTTGTCAATGTCAATAACCACTGTTTGGAATTTAACGGCTATCTTTACTGTTTTTGTCTTCTCCTTTGAGCAGTTGTGCTTTTTTTCCTCTCTTTTTTTAATATTCTAGTATCTTTTTTAAACATTTAATTTGAATTCTTTTAGAGCTATACCTCCATTTTCTGAGTTGTAATTTGGAAAAAATACTGAAGATAATATCTGACAATAATAACAACAAAATAGTTATTTCATTAATGAGGTCAGCTACATGAATTACACCATAAAATCCCTTATAATAATTTCTTTCAATGTCCTTGGTTTTCCCTCTACCTCTTTCATAGGGCTTAAACACCATGTGATCTACTCTCCTCATCAGTGTCTCTTATAACTTTCTTTACACATGTCCAAATTATTGAAGAAATATCTTGACGGATATAAAATCAGTAGACTACTCTTGCTTGGAATTATAACGTTTGTTAGATTAATAGCTTCCTTTTTTTTAACATTATTTTGGTGGAGGGGAAGGGGATGTTTCAAGGAGGCATTAATCATTAGTGCAAGAAATATTTTGAAAATCTGGCATTTGTTTGCATAGAAACGACATTCTGTTTTGTCTTGTGTTGTATATGTCATATCTAAATGAGTTGAAGTAACTATTTGGCGGAGAAATATTGTCGGTTTCTTCTCATAATAAGCGTAATGATTTGATCAAGTTGAATTAACTTCTGGAGTTGCTGTTCATGCAATATTCATTTATGTATTTGATTGTGTTTAATTTGAATCATAAATTTTATATTAGAAATAAAATCAAAATTATATTTCTTTGTTTGGTTGCTGTCTTCTACCTGAAAGTGATTTAGTAAATTATAAAGTACTGAGGCATGTTTTTATCTAAATAAAAGAAAGAATGGAGGTGTTGACCATTGCGCTGGCTTTCAAATTTTCCAGGAGAATTGCGGAGGTTAAGGCTCAAGAAAGGAGAAAAGCTCTTGAAGAGATACTGTATGCATTGGTGGTGCAAAAGTTTATGGATGCCAATATTTCTCTGATACCCTCCTTAACCCCAAACCAATCTGGTCGGGTTGATTCATGGCCAAGTGAAGATGGAAAACTGGAGGAGCTTCACTCACCTGAAGCCTACGAGATGATCCAAAACCACTTGGCTCTTATTTTGGGCAACCGTTTAGGGGATTCAACATCTGTCGCTCAGATTAGCAAAATCAGAGTAGGACAGGTCTATGCAGCTTCAATAATGTACGGCTACTTTCTTAAGCGGGTTGTCCAAAGGTTCCAGCTGGAGAAGACAATGAAGATTCTTCCTAATGCGGCAGAAGAGAATAGCATTCTACAAACTGTTGTAGACGATTCAAGAATCAGTGGAGAGGACACATCTCATGTTATGTCTCATCCTGAAATTTCTACTTTGCCTGGTGGTGGCATCAGCTCAGGGGGATTTGGTTATGGTTCAAAAGTTTCCAAGTTGCGTACCTATGTGATGTCCTTTGATAGTGAGACATTACAGAGATATGCAACGATAAGATCCAAAGAGTCTCTCAGCATCATTGAGAAGCACACTGAAGCATTGTTTGGAAGACCTGAAATTGTTGTTACACCACAGGGTTTAATTGATTCTTCGAAGGATGAGAACATCAAAATTAGCTTTTGTAGCTTGAAGAGACTTGTTTTAGAAGCTGTTACTTTTGGTTCTTTTCTATGGGATGTTGAGAGCTACGTTGACTCAAGTTATCATTTTGTCCTGAACTGAGTTCTGCTCACTCCCATGCATCCATGGCAAATTATATGTGGACTGAAGTACTAGTGTTTTCCACCTGTTTGATCATAATGATAGTGGATCTGGTTTTCACTAATGGAAGTATATCTTACTATTAGATATTTTCACATTTACTTATCCTTTGTTGTCGTGATTTTTGTTGAAGCATTAAGTGTGAAACAACCGATTTAGACCTGTCAAAATTCAAATTAAGAATGACTTTGGAGCAATTATAATAAGGATGATTGATGTAAAGAGGTTGACTTCAAGATTTCTTTTAGTTAGATGTACATTTTATCAATATTTAAAAAAAGGATACACAATTCATGACCAAGACAGTGTTAAGTTGCCAGAATGTTATAATACTCTCTTCTACTGTGGTTTTTTCTTCTTATGTTATCTTATCACTGGTTTACCATAAAGTAATCTTAACTAATAGTTAGAGGTGTCAATATGGGTTTTAATCCGTGAATCAACTTGGTGTATCACAAGTTTGAGCTGAATTGAATTTGATTTTTTTCATTTCTGCTGATAATGGGTTAAAAATAAACCCGACTTATTTATGGTGGGTTGATCTGTAACTCACAATTCCTTTTAAATTTTAAAAATAATTAATAATAATTTAGTAATTTTAATTGATGTTTTCTTTCTCACCTCTATTTCATATTTTCATTATAAGTCAAATTCTCACTTAGGGTTATCATCAATTGCGTTATAATGTTTGTTGCGTTTCAATTTCGTATTTCAATTGCATCATAACTTTTGTTATATTAACTCTATAGTGTTTCAGTCTCGCATTTTAATCGTGCCACAAAGTTTGTCACGTCACCGTATTCGTCACACGAGTGTATTCGTCGTATCACCACGTTACCGTGTTTTAGTTGTATCATAGTATTTGTCGCATTTTAGTTACATTACAAAGTTTGTTGTGTTACCACGTCATTACATTTAGTCCCATTATTCACTTGTGCTTATTAGGAAAAAAAAAATATGGGTTAGTAAGTCAACCCACCTAACTCGTAGTGGGTTGAACCGGATTGTGAAATTTCTAGTTCGTCATAAAGTGAGTCAGATTGAACTCGTCTATTTTCAACTCAGTCTATGATGAACTAATCCGTGTGAGTCAAATTGACTCACTTTCACACTCGTGCTAGTAACTTACACATATTAATCAAATAATGTGGTAACATTTTTTTTTGTTTGGATAACTTAACTACATTGACTTGATAATCAAAATTGACATTAAAAATAATTATGAATGAAATTAAAAATAAAATAAAAATGTAATAGACCAAAAAAAGTTATGTAATCCTTTTTTTATTTAAAATAATTTTAAAAATTAAAAAAATACCCGAATATCATTTAAGATTAATTGTGTTAAAGAATATGTAAAATGAATTTTCCATTTTATATATTGTTAAAAAAAATATTGTTTATATAACTTTGGCTAATCATTTAGCAGCCAATAAAATAACAAACTGAGAATTTATGAGTTATATATATATTAAGCTATATTTTAAGCGTAACTTTCGTCTAAAAATTCAAAATATCTACACAAAACTCTATTATTATTAAATAATTATGCTCTCTCTTTGCTAGTTTCGAACCAAGACTTGGCTGCGTTGGTTTTTCTTTCAAAACCTCCATTGAACTTAATCCATGGATTTGGTTTAGTCAACGGACATAGAAAGTGGATATTAACTAACACACTATGAGGTTAAGAATTTTAGTCCAAACCCATAAACCTTAAGATAGTTAATACTCAATAATATTAGGGTGTTCAGGCCTCAGCCACCCTCAGTTTGGTTCAATATAAAATTGTATAAACATTATATAAATATAATACAATCATGGCTTTTAAGGTAAGCATTGTCTCACTTGTACATGGTATTCTGGTATAATTCTAATTGACGCAGAATTTAGATTTATTTTTCAATACATCTCACATCCTTAGTCGATCAATGATAGTTTTTATACCATTTTACAAAAATGATTCAATCCTATGAAACCGATATGTCTTGATAACTGATTGCTTACCATCATTGCAATTTGGTAATATCTTTTTACTTGTAGAAAAGATTTTGTGAATACTTATTGCACAAATGAAAGAGAGACTCTCCTTCATCCCTCTACTGGTTTGGAAATCTCTACTTTGTATGAAAAATAAATTTAGTGAGGATATAGGAATTGCTTTTCTAACAAATTAAAAGTAAGGTAACAATAATTGAGAATAATAATAAAAATTGCCTAACCAATAAACGATTTTAAGGATTCCAATACAAAAAGTATGCCTCAGACTTTGCGTGGCTTCAAGTTTTTTTCCTCTTACAACCTATGAAATTTATCACTGAACTGCTAATCTTTCAATTTCTTTGGTTGAAAATTCCTTTATATGTTCCTTCACTGCTCTAACTTACTTCATATTCTACTATTCAACCATTGAATTATGTCCCTAGTGATGTCCTCTCGTTCAGGTTCAAAGAGGAGGTCATGTGAGAAGTCTTCATACAATTTGATAGTTTTGTCTGTTGAGGATGCTTGTTCATATAGTTTTTGAGAAGCATCAGGATCAGTAACAGAATCAGCAGTGCCATGGAGAACTTGAAATGGAACTCTCAGTTTTCTGAGATTTTGTTGCAAGTAGCTTGTGATTTGAAGAATTTCATAGCCAGTACGTATTCTTAGAGATCCAGTACATACCAGTGGATCTGAATATTTAGCAACTAGAGCCTCTGGATCTCTACAGACTGCTATTCCCTTCTTATATGCAGAATTACATTGATATGTTGGCAGCAAAAATGAAAGTATTGGTGCAACTGCCTGTCATGAAGAAAATATATAGATGAGGAGTGGCTATATCCAATGTATTGTAAGCAAGCATGCCATGTTTTATATACAAGAAAATATGTTATGGATTGACAGTGTTGAACAATTTACATTGTATGGTAAGTTTGTCCACTTTTACAATGATTACCTTAAAAGGCATATAAATGGTGATTTACTATTAGTTTAACTCTTCACATATTCTGATGTAGATGAAGATGTTAGAAGGTATGTATTATAATCAGATAGCTTGAATGCAACAACAGGTATTCTCACCACCAAAATTGGATGAGAAGGCTCCACTCCAACTGCTGGTGAGGTGAATGTAGCACCAACTATGCTGGCTTCAACTTTTGGATCAAGCAGTGCCTATAATATATATAGCAGTGAAAAACTGAATCAATTTTGTAGATATTATCATGTACAATACTTCTATTGACTTTAACAATAATTATCTTTAAAATCATTCCAAAACCAAGATGATCTATAGATCTTCATATCATGTCAATCTGCCAAACCAGTTGAGTTTACTAGAATATGCAATTACCAATATAAACAATAGACTCTGATATTACGTGGAATTTCAATTTAAAATTAGTTGGTATTAGAGGAAATTGTCTAACAATTACTTAGTCGCACTCTAAGAATTGAGACAAATTATATACTGCTTCCCAATAATTTAATATTAGTTGATAGTGTGAAAACCAGAGAAATTAAGCTCTATACAAGTCCCACCTTAAGAATAATGGCTGCACCTGTTGAGTGTCCATAGCAGAAACATGGAAGCCCATCATTTTCATTTATAATCTTTTCAAGAAATACTTTCTGTTTATAAAAAAGGAAATAATGTAGATCAGAAAATATGTAATATATACAGTAATCAAGCGTAGAAACATAACTACTTCCTAGTTCCCACCCACCACATCTCTTTCTCACTTAAGTGCTAACACAAAATGCAGAATCAATGCATACACCACAGCCCCTTTTATTTAGACAATATCCAACAAAATACTTGTAGGTTCTTGAACATACCATATCAGAAACAACATCATCAAGAGAATGCACATATGCATGTAGCCCATCACTTCCACCATGACCTATAAGAAGTATAACAGTAGTAGATAAAAATCAGGTTTGAGATAATATTAACTAATATTATAAATGAAAGAGACAAATGATTAGAACCCAATCTACTAGATTATAAAAAAAGCATTCAAGTTTTTATGATAGATCAATAGGGAACTTAAGTCAGTGATAATAATATGAATAAGTAAAATTTAAGCACTTAGTTTGTCTTAATTTAAAGTAAGATCCTAATCAAATTCCTACAGATGAAAAAAACTGCAGGTAGTACGATAAGATGAGATGCACAATCAATGGCATGTACCAGTATCCTGCTCTTGGAGTACCCTATAGAGGTGTGCCTTCCAAACCATAAGAAAAACATCAAGCAAATGCTTATGAAAATGACCATGAACAATAAATGAATAACCAAAAATCTCAATAAAAGAAAACAAAAGGGAAAATAAAAACACTATCATAGAAGACTTCTGTGATTTATTTATAGTAATGTTCAACTGTTAACCTAAAATCCATTTATTTTTAGACTCAGACTTAATGTTTGAGCTATTCTAATCTTAAACAAGCGCAACACACGGATAATAAGCTTACTTATAAACAGGAGCTTCACATGTTACTTTATCGCACAAATAAGCATCCAAATAACTTAGCCCTGCAACATCCAAATGTACATGCATGTTGAAGAAGAATGATGACAACAAAACTATTAGATAAAAAGGAAGACATGTTGAAGACATGTCTTCTATAATCCAATGGAATAATAAAAAAATATAAAGAATGACAAATTTCTTAGAAGAAAATTTTCTTCAGTTCACTACCACAACAACTGACAACAAGAACTGAAAATTATTTTGTACAAACTGCAGAAATCGGTGAATCCTCCTTAATTGCAAATAATGTAAAATATAATGTATAAGACGAAAAAGAATATACAGTATGTTAAAGAAGCTTATTCCATCATTCTCATGCTTGTAATACATAGACAAGAAAATGAATCATGCTGAATAGCTACTACCAATTCCTCCACAATTCATGCATGCTCATAAATTAGAATTGGTTTCATTCTTACCACTCCAATCCATCCCGTAAACTTTGTAGCCATTAGCATTCAGCTGCTTTGCAAAATCATTATATCTGCTACTGTTAGAGAATAATGGGGATGGCTTCAGGAAAACAAAGAAGTAATATAAAATCTGAGACTTCAGAACTTGAATTAAATACCTCACTTTCTCTTTTTCCTTTCCTTTCTATCTCTCTCATTCTTCCACCCAACTCACCCCATAAGGGGTTGTGAGAAAGAACATTATTACCCTTACATAAATTACTAACCTGTGTTCATTAAGACCATGCAAAAGAAGAACGAGTCCCCTGCACAAAGTAGGTAACCTATTTTAGCTGATTAACGGGGGGCTGGACGAATGAATAAAAGGTAAACTTTCCTTAAAAACAGAAGAAAAAAGAATTGGAGTAGAAACTGTGCATGTTACGCTATACTTGAATTCCTTGTTTCCAGGAAACAAAATTTTAACAATACACAAGATACAAAATCAACATGAAACGTCTAAAGAACCACAGATATATTATTAATACATATATATGCTCTTACTATAATTATGAAACTATCATTTAAACAGTATTATGAAACTATATCAATTATCCATAATCCGCATGAACCTTTAAAATTCTTGATATCTACCTGATCTCATGATAAAGTGGTGTCCAACATTGTGTGAAAATGGTGTCACCCCTTTTGGTTCCTAAAAGCCAATACTCCCTAACACACCTTTGATCATCATCCTCCACCACCCTCCTTATGGCCAACTCCCTCCTTGCCAACACCACACAAACACCACTTTTCCTCGGCAGCATCTTGGCCGGCATGCGCACCATTGTGCCTTTTCGGTGACATTCCTCCTTGTTGCCAGGTTTCTCGGCCTGGGACACCCTCCTCCGCCCTCTGAACGGCAGCAGCAGCAGCAGCATAGCAACGGCACATATCAACGTGAACAAGCTCTTCAACGCTCTGAGAGATAACAAGGCGCTTTCCTTCAAAATGAATGCCTCTCTGGCCATTTTGTTCCAAATTCACACACTAACGCTTTTAATGATTCCTCCAGCTTCTAACGTTGGTTTTTCTTCTTTTCCGTTGAGGAAAATGTTGAAAAAAATGAAAGAAGAAAGAAAAAGAAGAAGAAAAGAGAAATGGTGGGGAGTTTTTGTTTGTTATTAAAAACTTCAGAATTGCAGATGATAAAAATAGCATGGAGGGTGCGTTACCAAATGTAGGAGAAGCTAAAACAGGATGGCCATGATGATATGCATATATAACGATGATGAACTCATTACAAAGAAAAAACAACTGAACAAGAATAAGCAACACATGCAGCGTAGATACTTTTCTCTACGTTATCATTTTATAACAAAACGTTGTATGTAGAAGTATTGGAGTGAGATTTCTTTTCATATTTTTAGTTTCAATCCTTCATTTTTAGGCATAACACTGTTGAAATTATTTATTGATATGATTTTATTATACCAATTTATAATATTATATAAAATTATAAAATTTTAAATATGATCTTAGCATAACATACTAATATTTCCTACAAAAACTTATACATAAAATTAATACTTGCTGATCAAAAATAACGAAAAGAAATTTAGAATGTCATTCTTCAATAAAAAGTTATTAACTTCTATAACTATTTTAAAAATCATAAAATGATTTTAAACTGATTGATAATTCTATATTAATCTTTACAACACATGTCTATTAAAAGAGAGTTAACAGTATACTTCGTCCACTTTCAGAGTATATGAAAGAGATTAAAGTTGAAGCACTACACGTGGAGATTCAGAATATTTATGGTAAGATTAAGTTGAAGCAGTCAAGAAAATGACATGACATACAAAAAAACTTCCCATAAAGTGTGGAGCAAATGGATTACTACTAACGGATTTGCTGCAATATATATATATATATATCAAGAAAGTGGGTGAGAAACTAAAAAAAAAAAAAATTCAAATACTTAATGCACAAAGGCTCTTTTTGACCATAAAAGGCAAACCATGATTAAGCTAAATCAACGTGTTTCATCCCATTACAAACATTGATAAGGTTCTCTCACCATTAGGGTATTTTGCTCCATTGGAATTAGTCAACACTCACCCATACAACTAGATTTTGGAGACAAATTGGTATCACTACCATTTGAGTCATCATGACCATAACTTAACAAATGAACAAATTATTCATTAATTTTCTATTAGACCAATCCATTGGGGTATTATAAATCAATATAATGCCAATAATTTAACCAATCATGGAAATTATCTGCTACAAACCAAACTCTAAATGAAAAATCCACCATTAGACAAAGTAAAAGAGAACAACACTTGAACCACTTGATTGTTGCAGCGTCAAAACTGCAAGGAAACACGATTTTAATTAATTGAATTTATCTGACAGCGGTTTCGTGAGACAGCTAATTGCAGCACCACTTCTCACCTTGTTGACAGTAGTAGTTTTATTGGACATCAAATAATAACAGCATCTGTGGTATCCAAGAAAGGTTTCAAACATGGATGTTACTAGAGTAATTGCCAGTAAGATGAGACATACTTTTGGGTTTCAGGAGCTAGCCTTTGATTGATCATGTTCCAGTATAACTGCAACTTTTCACTTCCTTGATAAAAAATCATTAAGTTCAGCATCTTCGAACATGCAACATTGCCTGAAAGTTTCAGTTTTTCTTTATCTGATGGATTGAACAACTTTGCTGCAATAACTATAATCCTAACCATCATGCATTTTCTTCATTTTCTTTATCAAGGCCTTGTCAAAGTTGTTGCTTGACAGTGAAAGAACCTGGTTCAACAGTAACTTTACTCCAGATTTCTCCACAATTGCAAATCTAGGTTTAATCCTTTTCTCTAAACTGTATCCAAAATACTGAGGGAACTTAACCAGCTCAGATTTTGGGTATCCTGTGGTCAAAAAGAAATCCCATTTTGGAATCAAATTTTCAGTCAAGCTGAAAGTATACAAAGCTCCATATCTTGAAATCATGGTCCCAATGTCATCCAAAGTGTATCCCCTCTCCAAGAAAAATGCTGTTATAGGTTTTAGGTTGGCCTCAATGCTAAGACCAAAATTTTGTGGGCATCTGAATAGAAGAATGCCAACATCAGCCCCCAAAGAACGGAAGTACTTAGCTGTGGGTCGGAGATTGTCCTCTACACTGTAACTAACGATATTGGGGCAACGAGTTAAAATTTTACCTATGTTCTCTTTAGAGAGGCCCAATTCATGGAGGAAATTTATGCTTTCCATCACTTTCTGCCTGCTATAAGTTAGCAGGGCCGGGAAGCGATAGATCACCTTTGGCCATTGCTTCTCGTCAACACCCAATGATTCTAAGAACTTCATGGTTGGTTTAAGATTTTCAGATAGACTGATACCACATAATTGAGGCCTTTTACTGAGGATAGCGGGAATGCGCTCTCTTGGCACTCCCAGTTCAAGAAAAAACTCAACGACTGGCTTAATTTTACCCTCCAAGCTATAGTAGGCAAAAGCTGGGAATCTATTTGTAATACTCTGAATCTGCTCAATATCCATACCAAGTTCCATGAGATAGACAACATGAGGTCGCAGATTGCCACCATCTGGGTCTATCTCACTCGCTAGTGACACAGCTTTAAGCTTCCTAGAGTCTAACACAGGACAAGAAGGAGGAACTGACACTGCTGATTTGTCCTGAACAGGTGGATTTGGATAGTTTTCCACTACATCCACTAGAATGTCACCATGCTCGTCAAAAAGAGATTCAAGATAAGGGATAAGAGCATCCCTGATCTCCAAAGTTGTAAGTTCTCTTCCTGTTTGTGTCAATAAAACTGATTAGCAGGATTCAACAAAGAAGAAAATTACAAAATAGAGTAATTGTCGTGACAGAACCTGCAAGATACCAAGATTTGTGTTTAGAATGAAGCTTTGAGACAAGATGATCAATAAAAAGATCTGACTTGTTGATGGTTCTAGCAGCAACCGCATTGCTCAAACCTTGTTTCTTCAAAAACAAGGTCAATACAGCCTTGGCTTCTTCCTTCTCAGCTACTAACAGAGTGGGAGATACCACTTTTAAATTCAATGACCCATCTATGCCTGATGAAAGAGCACCACCTTGAAAGGTATATGCTAATTAGAATGAAATACAAACCTCATGCCAACTGCAACATCTAAAAGTAAAAAAAATAGAACGGAAATTCTAACCCGATTTTGCCTGGCAAATGAAGACCTTTGCAGGAAAAGAAAGTTGAGTCCTGATGTAAAATATTCATATGGGAAAAATATTCATGTAATATCATAAAGAGGAAAAACAAAAAACATATACAAGAGCATTGAAATTCTTGCATGCATTTACTAATAGACAGTAAGACAGACTGAAAAGAAAAGAAAAGCAAGAATATATTGGCGTGTCAAGGCTATTTATGGTGAGTTTGAGTAAACAACTTAATTAAGCGCCTACTGAATAAGTTCTTATTATTTAGTGTTTATGTATAAGTTTTTTTCATAACCAAATAAAGAATAGGATTGAAGTTGTTTTCTTAGGTTATCTAAAGAGCTTACAGAAAAAAGCATATGGACATATCATAAGCTATTCTAAGTTCTCTTAACACATGCAGCAATTATTTCATAAGATAAGTCACCTACCTTTTGGAAACACCCAAGGGCATTTCAAAGATCTTAAAAGAATCTATGTTTAACTTATTTAGAAATCATTTCACAGGAAAGTTGTTAACATAAGTTCTTATAAATCCTCCTATATCATCCTCTTGCTAAATATAAAAGGTATATAATTTTTTTTAGAGCAAATTACATTGATACTCCCTTTGTTCTCTTTAAAAATTCAGACGACACGCCCCTACATTTTTTTCTCCCACGTTAAGCCCCTAAGCCGTTTGAAATATATTACACTAACACTCTGCTAATCAAGAAACACAATGCATCTTGTATCCATGTAAAGAGGCTACTCAAAAGTTAAAAAGAGAGGAATATGGTGTGAATTTTGAAAAAACCACAAGAGATATCAATGTAGACTTACTCTATTTTTTATGTTTCTAAGATATGAAGTACCTTTTCGTTCATTTAACATTTGTTTATAAAGTATAAGGAATATTTGTAGGAGGAATTGTAAGAGAGGTCATAACCTTACCCTTCCTTTTAACTTGCAACCAAAACTTCTTATTAAGCTCTTGTAAAAAAATTATCAAACAAGTATTTAAAACTCTTAATTTGGCTTTTGGAAAACTGTTTCCATAGACCCAGATATCCCCCTTTCACTATTCAACATCCACAAACGCGAACACCACCCCACAAGCTCATTCCCATGAGTTTCCTCTTCTCCCTCTTGATTCTCTCACTGGGGGCTTTGAAATTTACAAAAGAAACCAACATGAAGAAAAAAATTGATACAGGGCATGCAAGAAAAATTCTATTAGAATGTGAAATGCATGAAAAGAGTGAGCAAAAGGGCACCTTTTGGTTGTGTAAGAGAAGAATCTTGCACAATAAAAATGGTGTGGTATTTGAATTGAGTAGAAAGTCTTCATCTCCGTTGGATTGAGTTAGTTTCTGTGAATAAGAAAGGTTTTTTCATTACTGTATCACTGCGCGGACTGCAAACCACCGAATCATGGGAGATAAGGTACACTAGATGTTGCAAATAAGATTACAGTGGAAATAACTTTGGTGAGATTCATATAAAACCAACGTTTTTTTATTTCCATAGAACTAATGGAAGTTTATTTTTGCTACTGGTAGATTATGAGAACTTGTTGAAAAAAGAACTTTTTTACATATGGTTGAAAAAAAAAATCTTACTCTTTTCAGACAACAACAAAGAAAAAAATAATGAACTTCTTTAGTTTAATCATATAATAATAATAATAAACATAAAAATTTAAAAGTTGTATGGTTATCATATTATTAAAATAAATTATTAGATGGATTATTGAAATATATATATATATATATATATATATATATATAAACTTATCATTTTCCTTTGGTTTGTAAGCATTTAGTAAAAAATATTTACGTACTAAATTATGTTTAAATGATTTTTTTACTTAAATTTACATTTTTCTACAAATTATAGATATTATGAAAAATGCAATATTCATTAAATTATAAAAAATTATATTTCATTTATAGAGAGAGATATTAATATATAAAAAAAATCCTTTATAATTTTTTTATGTATTTGATGTAGAAAAGAATAAAAGTATTATAGTTTAAAAAAATTATTATTATAAATTTAAAAAATATGAAAACAAAATAAAAATTAGACATGTTTAAAAAATAAAATAAATTTTAAAATATTATTTTAAAAAAATAATTATGAAAATATGGATACATAAACACTTTACTATATAATTAAGAGAAATAATAACTATTCATAAACGAACCAATCTAAATAAATAATAAAAAATATTTAAAAACAAATTATCTATACAAGTTCAAATTTCAATTTTCAATTTAAAATTATTTATAAAACTAAATTATTTATTATACTTACATGTTTTAAGTACATTAACAATTATCTTGAAAGTTATTTTAATGTTTCATTATGTTATATATAATATATTTTTACTCCTCAAAACATAATAATCATGTTTATTTTTATAAATAAGATTATATAATTTATTTACAATATGAAAGAAATTATAATAGGTGTTCTTATTTGACCATTTGTATTGAAATGATGAGTTTTTTTAACAAAATTAAAATAATAGAAATCGTAAAATTAAACTGTAAACATTAATTTAATTTTATAAAGGATGAACCCATAGCGTTAGCCACTTAATTAAAAGTTATAGCTATTAGTAAGTTTAACCAAACCAAATTACCAACACCTTTAGATAATATGAGTAATAATATATATATATATATATATATATATATATATATATATATATATATATATATATCAAATTGGTATAACAAACACATATATTGTAAGGAATATTGAGTTAATTTTATATATGAGAAAATATTTTTAATTTTGTTTTTAAGAAACAACAATTTTAAATTTTATAAGGAATATTTAATTCATTTTGATAATTTTTTTCATTTTATTAATTACAATATTTAATAGCGTAGATGTCATTTTACTTTGTAATCATAGTATATTATTAAATAAGCAAATCATATATTTTTTTAAGATAAATTACTATATTTTATATTGTTAGATAAAAATGTGAAAAAATAAAAAATATGTTTGTAATTTTTATTCTTAAAAAATATTTTATATATATATATATATATATATATATATATTTAAAAGTCAAATTTATATGTTCCTTAAAATAATTTAAAGAATGCAGGCCGAAGCGTGTATATTTCCTAATATAACAAAGAATAGGACAACTGATATCTGAATATTCGTAAATATGCAATGATTATGCATATTTTAATCTGAGAATTTGATTTAATATTTAAATATGCAATGATTATGTTAAAAAATATATAACATTTTTTAGAAAAATAATTTAACATCAAATCTTTAAATACAGAGTTGCTGCATTCACCATTGCAGTTGTGATTGTTTTCACATGCATGAAGGTTGTGACGGTTTTCAAAAGTTACATACAGAGTTGCTGCATTCAACGTTGAGGTCTGAACTTCTTTTGGATGCAGTTTACAATATACTTTTTCATCGTCGTAATTATTTTATTTTATCTTGTCCCTTTTTCTATCTTTCTTTGTATTCATCGTCTTCAGGTTTCAGAGAAGACTTAAAACACGGATAGTGGTTTACTGAGTCAACAGACGAAAGAGATAAGAAAGCAACCAATCGTATTATGAGGATGGTTTTGGTTTTTGTGGTGAACACGAGTAGAGACATAAAAGTATGTTATTATTTGTACTATAAAGTGGTTGCGTAGGGACATGCAGAATGAAAATGAAATTAATGTTTTCTAATTCTAGTGGACCATGTGAGACTCGTTCTATTTAATATAATAATTCAGCCCCGTTGGTTTTTATCTTCTCACAACTTCTCTCTATTCCCACTTTTCTTCTGAGTTTCTTGCAGGAAATAAGATGGCTACCTTAACTGTACCCCCTGTTCCTCCTCACCCTAGAGATGATGCACTGCAGCTTTACCGGGCTTTTAAGGGTACCCTTTTTCTCTCTCCAAAGTTGTTGGTTATGCTTTAATCATACCCTAGAACACAACTTTGATTAGGTAGTTATCTGTTTGAAACTTCCCTTTGAGGAAGATGCTATTGCTGGACATTAAGGTTCAGTTCAGTCAACATGGACTTTAATATGACCTTGTTGTGTTAACTCTTAACCTTTTTGCATGTTTGCTTTTAATTTTAAAGTTTGGCAACAAGCCCTGATTGCCAACGTTGTTGTTTTCTTGTTATGTCATTCTAATGGTTGAATTTTAAGCCTATTTTTCATCAAAATTTTATTTGCAAGTAAATGTACCTTGTGAAGACTCTGGACTCTTGAATGTTTCTTCTTATAAGTGTCTATTCATTTTGCTCTAGATTTTCTCTACTTTAATTTGAACCCTTTTTACTCTAGACCTTTAATTTCACTTTAATGGTGTGTTTTCACAGGATTTGGGTGTGATACTAGTGCTGTTATCAATATTCTTGCTCATCGTGATGCTACACAGCGTGCCTACATCCAACAAGAGTACAAAACAATGTATTCTGAGGAACTTTCCAAACGTTTAGCTTCAGAGCTTAGTGGAAAGTTAGAGGTACCAATTTATTAAAGGACATATTTGGAGGAAGGTTCTCTATAAACAGTTATTATTTATGAGTTAAAATGAAAAAAAAATGATTTCATTTTTTTTCTCTTAAAAGGGTATATTGAGAAGTCTCTCCAATCATACCTTAGATTTATAAACTGTGTTGTGGAGATGCTAATTTTTTAAAGCTACAATTAGCAACTCGGTTAAAATAAGGATAAGAAGCATGTGGAAAAGCTGGTACAACTAATAACAGAGTAAAAAAATGTACTCTTTATGCACAAGTGTAATATAATATCATCATTTAAGAAAATAAAAAAATGGAACTAACATAAATTAGACAATTTGGGCTAAAATACACTATTGCATGGTGTTAATTTTGACTAATGTGGCAAAACTCAGTTTGGCATGATATTTCTCACATTTTATTACCTGTCATTATACTGAAGTTAATGTTGCAAACTAACATAAGACTAACTTGGTTTAACATGGACACACTTTAATGAAGAGTAAAACTTTTACACTCATGAAACCAAACAGAATCAATGAAAATAAGATGAAAGACCAAAAGTATATTTTAGACAAAATTGACATACAGATAGATTATAATTTTTGTATGTCATGGAGTATATCACCTAGTGATCACTGTCACATTATTCATTTACCGTGTATACAGAAACGCCTTTGTATACAAAAAAGCTAAATCATATGTATCTTAATATTTAGAATAGTGGCTCAAATGTTTCTCAATACTTCTGGTTTTTATTGTATATATATTTTTTTATGTTTATCAGACTGCAGTTCTGCTGTGGTTGCATGACCCTGCGGGACGTGATGCAACAATCATTAGGAAGTCTCTAGTAGAGGTCAGAAGCATTGAAGGTGCTACTGAAGTTATATGTTCACGCACTCCATCGCAGCTGCAATATTTAAAACAGATCTATCATTCTAGGTTTGGTGTTTATCTTGAGCATGATATTCAAGCAAACACCAGCCCCGGGGATCATCAAAAGGTGAGGTTTCTATTGTTAACATTCATTAAGGGAACATGAGCTATGGTGATCTAGACTATGTTTGGATGAACTTTTGCTTAAACACTTTTAAAAGAGAAAATTCTAATATCATCTTAAAATGTAGATTTGAATCTAACTTAATTTGGTCATATCGCTAGTGGACGAAGATATCAGTAGTATTCTAGGTGCAGGGTTTTGAGAAAGATAGATATGAAAAGTAGTTTGCTATCATGTTCACATCTATGGGTTCATTTGAAGTTATTAGAAGAGTGGAAACTGCTGTTATTGATACCTTTTATGTATGAACCTTGCTTCAGCTCTTGCTTGCGTATATAAGCACACCTCGTCCTGAAGGCCCTGAGGTTAATAGAGAAATTGCTCAGAAGGATGCAAAGGTTCTTTACAAAGCAGGGGAGAAGAAACTGGGAACTGATGAGAAGACCTTTATCCATATATTCAGTGAACGAAGTGCTGCACATTTGGCTGCCGTCAGTTCTTATTACCATGACATGTATGGTCACTCTCTGAAGAAGGTATCTTGAGAAGTTTCAATTTATTTAATTAGATTTACTCTTTCTTGATGTGTTTTTATGGTGCTTATTCAATCTGAATTTATCAGGCAATAAAGAATGAAACTTCTGGGGCCTTTGAACATGCACTTTTGACAATAGTCCAATGTGCTACTCATCCAGGAAAGTACTTTGCTAAGGTATTCCACTGCATTTCAACTTTTGATAACTGCTTCTTTTAATGCTATTTCAACAATTTTTTGTTCAGTGACAAACAGAAGATACTTATGCTAGGCTTATTGTTAAAGAATTAAATTGACAAGGTAGGAAATTATTTTGAAAGATATAAGGCATGTACCTGTTTGATTTCCTTCTCACTTTTCTGGTTTCAAAACCTTTTTACAAAACAATTTCATATTACTCAGCATTCAATTTCTCAACAAAAATCTATATATCAAGTTTTGAAAAGTGTTTCCAAAGCAAATGTTTTAAAAACATAAAATAGGAACAACTTACTGATTTTTTATTTTTTTTCATTTTGTTCTTCTGTTTTCATCTTATTCAACTTCTCTCAATTTCACACTCTATTTGTCCCTTGCCCCACCCTTGGCCAGTTAAACAACCATGTTTAGTTGCATTTAAAAACTCAAAGCAGTTTTTGGAAAAAGAAATCAAACACACCCTCCATGTAATTAGGAATATACATAAGTGATTGCTTGCATGCTGTGACCCAATATTATTGATTCTTCAAATATGAATGAGGGAACTTCTTAGCATGTGTGACCACCATGCAGGTTTTGCACAAGGCAATGAAAGGTTTAGGGACAGATGATTCCACACTCATAAGGGTCATTGTAACAAGGACTGAGGTTGATATGCAGTATATCAAAGCTGAATATTCAAAGAAGCACAAGAAGACTCTGAACGATGCAGTTCACTCAGAAACATCTGGTCACTACAGGGCTTTTCTTCTTGCACTTTTAGGCCCTAATATCTAACCAAGATTTTCAATTGTGTTTCATGTGGAGCACATTCACCCTCTGACGGTGTAAGCTTTGTTTGTAGAAGTTTGTGAGCCATGTAACCCATCTCTACTTGTAGAATAAGGCATTTGTTGTTGTTATTGCTGCTTTGTGAGTATTAATTTGTCCATCTAATGCACAGATGAAGATTTTTTTTTTTTTTTTTAATGACACCTATGTTTAATGAGTGTATGAAAATGTGCATGTTAATTTAATATATAAACAATTATATATATATATATATATATATATATATGATAAGTTTTATTAAATTTTATTAGGAAAAAAAAATAGATCAATATCAATGTCTCGTTTTAGTCCATCCTATTATTAGTCTGCCAAAGTCAAAAAGATATAGACTCTATGATATATATTCCTTTTTATATATAAAAGTTTTTTCAATATATATTCCTTTTTTAAATAAATTTTTAATTATATGAATAATTTTTAAATTTTTATTTAATATTTTATTTGATAAATAAAAAAATCAATATATTTATATATTAAAATAATTAATTATTTAAATTTAATTTGTTAATATTTATAATTTAAATTATAATATTATAATTTATTTATATATTTTAATAATATGATATAAAAAATTATATTTTAAATTATAATTATTTAAATTTAAATTTTAATATATAAATATTTTTTTAAACAAATTAATTCTTCTTATTTTTACTCTTCGGTTAACGAGTTAGATAGAGTGGATCAATTGATATATTACAATTACCAATTTGTCTATGAATTTAGAAATGAGTCAGTTGTGTTACTTATTTTGCCATCCATAAATTTTATAATAACCATCTATATAATAATTTTAAAAAACTATCAATAGTGTAAATTATAAAAATTAAGAAATTCACATATTTTAAATTAATATTATAAAAATAAAACATTTATATAAATAGTCATTTTCAAAAGGAAAAAAATATTATCAGTCACATTCTAATAGTAAATTTATTAAAATATACCTTTTTTTGATAAGTATAACACTCTCACCACTATTGGACAAATGACAAAACATAAATTTTATCTTGTATTTTTTTATCAGTAATTTACTTTGCATTTTTACAAGAAACAGATGAAAAAAAAAGTTATAAAAGATAATTTCTTACATTAAAACAAACAAAAAATTATTGCATTAAAACGTTATAAATTAGTTTTTTTTTTATAATATAATAAGTTAGATGAGATTGTTTTACTTGTAAAAGATCTTACTCCATTAGTTCAATTATTTGAAAAACAAATAACTAATTCGACCATATTTATTGTGTACATTTATTATATTAATTACATTTCAACAACAAAGTAATAAGTATGATGAAATAAATAAATTAGGGTGAAATTAGGGCAAAGGACATTTAATTAAGGTGTGGACCAATTGAACTACTTTAAATGTCTTCTGATATGTGATGGTGAAAGCCACCATCACTCCCTTTCACACCTTCCACTGTGTTTACATCATTTTTTGCATGCCAAAATAATGCAGACATCCATATTCTACCCTAATTAATGTTCTCATCATGCTGTGATGTATAACCTTTTTCATCCTAAACCCTAAAATCAAACACCATAATTAATGACTATGCCATAATGACTGATGACTGTCTCTGATTTTTTTTAACCTAAATGTATATATATATATATATAGTTTCTTGTAACTTTATTTTTTTAATATGCTTCACTTAAGGTTACAGCTGTTGCAACTGGCTTTTTCCATCAGAGCATCAAGTCAGTGGAAAATCATATCAGCTAAAAGGAGTCGTAAGTGGGGCATAATGCAAGCCACAATCAAAACATATACATGAAAATCACAGTATCAAGTAACGTGGATATCTTCCAATCATAGCCAATGTATCTGGAATTTTTTAGCACAAGCAACCTTTTTTCAGGTTTGCCAAAAGATGTGTTTACATACACATGAAAGAAAACTCAGTAATATATTCTTCAAATCTTTCACACTCATCACTACTTTTTTAAAAAATAAACTTTGATGATATCCCTTGTGCACAAGTCAAGGATAAAATCAAAGAACAGAAGTATACTAATGATAGATAACAGCTATATCAAGCTTTCACACACAAGAATCAAAATCAGACTCAAAAAAAGTTGTGCATGGACAAATCTGTAAGAACCTAGGGAAAAGGAAGGGAAAAAGAGAAAAAAGAAAGCAAGAAAAAAGAGGGAACAAAGGCCTTATTATACATCTGATTCCTTCTTTTCAACTTTTTCTTTTAACTATGATAACATTTATATAATGACTAACACAACCTAATAAGCTTTGGCCCAAAAAGAATATACAGAGATGCTTTAGATTTGTGGAAAGTGCATGACATCTTTGCCTCGTAAAAAGCACTGTCTATATATTAATTAATTAATTTATATACCTGTGCATTAATCTTTTTCTATTTTGGCTAGTAGAGTGATCATGTAAACCAACTAAAATTAGGCATGTTCATTGCTGTGCCAAGTTGATCTCCCTAAGGTGAACTCCAAGCTTGGATTTTGATCCTTGAAGCTTCTTGTTTGTATGTAGTTGTTTCCCTGCATAAATTAATTGTTTTCATACATCTCAGACTCTATGTATTCTTTGCTGTCTGAACAAATCAACATGAGAAGATTAAGTCAGAACCTCAGAAAGTTTCCCAGAATACTGAGATGACAGGATTTCTTGTGGACTAAGCTCTTCCAAATCACGGGAATTAGCTTGTATCCGTTCTCCTCTACTGCGAGCCATTTCAACAAGAACAAAGTTTTGAGGGATGTGAAAATTTAACGTGACACACAAACATATTATAACATTAATTTTATTTGAGATTGTTTTGGTTATCTGACACTAGTAAAGTTAGCTCTATATACATATTCCAAGGAAAATAATAAAGTTCAAGAATAAACACTCATGCATGAATGAGTCACTGAGAGTGATATGAAACTTAAGTAGTTATACCATTTATCTAGAAAAACACAAATGGACAAAACAGACAAAAGAAATAGCATGTTCTGGAAATTCAGGTCAGTAGAAACAAAAACACAAGGGTGAGACATATATAGTGCAATCTACTTTCACTTTTGCTGTAGAAACATATTCATAAAATAAAGATTAAGAGACAGAAGAGAGAACTCTATATGAATAGACAGATAGAAATAAACTATGTTAATTAGGTGAATATAAGTTATGTAATGTTCATATACCATTCCCAGTACGATTTTTAGATAATCTTTTATATCAAATATATTATATTATTAATTATACTTATAAACGTGTCTTTATCTCGTCAATGTTGTTCTTACAAGTTGAAAAGACAGATATAATAATTTCTTATTTGATTCTTGAGAATATTGTTCTTTTTCCTTCTCCATTATGATTTAATCTCCCACTTCTCTCTTTTTTTATACCATTCATATAATAAATTTCTCAAAAATAAACGATGAAACTTATAGTTCGAAGTTCATAAGGTGGTGCAAAAAGAGCTGCACTGATCATGAAACATTTAAACATGATAGGTCATTTCCAGGTTATGAAAATCTATATCTTCAGTCTTCTACTGTGAATTACCTTTAATTCTTCTCTACTTCACTGGACATGTTACTTACTTTATTAACTTTTTAAGATAAAATATAGGGAGCATTTGCTTTGTGTAAGAAATACTTTATTCTTCCATTTTTATAACATCAATTTGAATGAATATAATGCAACAATACAGAAAAAAGAAAAAAAAAATCTCGTTCTACATGTTATAAAATGTCTGTATGTTTGACTTTTGATTAAATATTACAAGTAGCTATATATTCTTCATCTAACAAAGTAGAATAAATCTGGTCTTATAATTAGGTTAACCAATATTAGAATAATGTAGATACATTGAAAAAAATTTAGTTATGATGGTCAAAGGCATTTATTTCAGTGAATATTTTTCGTACCTTGATCAGACAAAGGACTATACTCACATTTAAGCCATCTGCAGTTTTTCTACGAGAAATGATGAAGTTTAAGACCATTTGGAATAAGAGTACATATATATATTTAATTAAACCTTATTTTTTTATCTTGTATATTACAACATTTTATATCACAATTGAAGATTATTTCGTTGTGTTATACAAGATAGAAAGCCTGTTGCACAGAAAATAATCAGAAAAAAGTAAGAAAAAAAAAACAGGAAAAGGGCAACAAAGAGGAATAACGAAGACCAAATAACAGGGAATATAAGTAAGAACATATTCATGTGTTTGTGTTGTGAATCAATGTTAGTTTGTGACTCTAGAACAAGTCTCCACTAACTCCGGTTTTAGGTGCTTATATTAGTTTATATTCTTTGAAATAGGTTTTAAGCAACCTAAACGTAAAGTTGTTGATACATAAGAAGTTTGATAATTATGTCTTTTAACTAACTTTGATTTTGAATTTGAAAATATATTGTAGCTAAGTTTATTGTTCATCAAATTAAAGTTTTAAACAACTCTTGATTATAAAAAAGTGTTGAGAAAAATATAATATGTATATTTTAAGGTTTGAGAATGATTTAATTAAGTCTTATTGGACATTGTGATGTAGATAGTGGAACAAATATATTATTAGATTATATTTATCTTAAATAATATCAATTTTGAACACATTTTCTCCTTTGTAATGATCATAATAATTGAATTTATGACTTGTATCCTGTAAACTAATTATAATGACTTAAATTTTAAATATATAGAGAGGAAATATATCGGGGATAAAAATAAATCACCCTATTTTTGAAATTTTATAACTTAATTTATATTATGGTTAAGTTTGTATTCATACAACATTAAACTTGAGTTAATTTATTTAATAAAAATAATTACTAGGAAAAAAAATTAAAAAACTTTTATATATTATTACAGGTAAATGTCTTTTAAGTTTAACAATGTAATTTACACAAGTAATTACAAATAATATAATTAACATCATTGTATTAAATTTCACTATGTATTTTAAAATCAGCTTGTGTAACTTAAGTTCATTAACCTACTTATAAGTTACAACGATTAATTTTGTTAACCTATTTTGTCTTGATTATTTTTAAATGGACTTAAAATATATAATACAGATTTCAAAATCTCAAGATAATTTTATAAAAACAGGCTTACATAAGATTAGGAGCCTTCAATTACAGAGACAAAGTACTTTTTTTGAAGTAAAATAATTTTTTGGATTGAAAATCATGTAAGCTTATTTCTTTGCAGTTTCCTCATGATAAGTTAATGGTGCAATCAAGTGAACAAATAACATAAGTATTCAGTCATACTGAAACTGGTAATGAATCTTTGAATTCTTGTATTTTTGAAAACTTTTCATTGTGTTTGTTTCCATTCTTAATTGTTCCAGTAGTTTCAAACATACATTTCCATAAGAAAAAAAAATTCTCTAAAAGAGGAGATTAAATTGACAATATATAAAAAAAAAACAATTTTCAAAATCTCAATTTTCAAATTAATCTCATTACAATATATATTATTATTAGGTCATGATCCTATATATCACCCATGTTCAATAACCTAGCTAGGCTTGTAGCTTTATCAGATGAGTTTGACGTGCATTTCAGGTTAGTTTGACCAATATGATGAATATAATATTGAATTTATTTTAGACATATTAAACATAAATTAAGAGTATTTCAATTATTATACTTAGTATGATATCCTATCTAACAATATATTTGTTTTCAAATGCTTATCATTAAACATAATTTTTTTTACATTAAAAAATAATTTAACTATGTCCGAATATCGATGTAGTTTGAATCTGGTCCAAAATCATTGTTTTTTTTCCTTTCTTCTATAAAAGTTTGTAACATTTGAATTGTGCTTCTTTCATAAACAATGCATGTTTTTTAACAAACTATTTTACTTTTATTTAGAGAAAAAGTATAATAATTCTCCTCTAAATGTATAAGTAGTCATTTTTAATGTATTATTTTGCCAGTATATACACTTTAATTGTAAAAAAAACCTATTAAATATTACTAAAAAAGTTATTTAAGAGGGTTCATAAAATTTTATGACTTAAAAAAATATTAAAAAAATATAATTATAAATTTCTGTAGCAGTTAGCACTTCTCTTCTAAATTTGAGTTGTGTAAGCAAAAGAGAAACAACGAATTCAACCCCACTGTCTGTCTTTCTGACTTGAAGAACTTTTTTGCAGTACAAACGTGAGGATCGAGAAAACTTTGCATCAGAGTCAAAGCTCATCAGAATCCAACTGGACCACCATTTTCAGGACTTAGGGAAGCTAGTAAGAGAGATCAATATATATGATGGTCATGGAATCTATATATACAATATGATTTTATGTGATCTCATATAAACTAAGTTGCATATTATGCAAAATACCATACTCATTTATGACTGTAATAAACCATATATAATATTGTTAAGGTTTGCTTGATTTTCTGTATCTGAAATTAGTATAAGGGCATTATATTATATTGTATCCATCAATGACAATATAACATTTTCAGAATTATGTGTATTTGTACCTTCACTCCCACTAGAGATATTGTTTCTACCAATTGCAATTCTCGGTGGAAATGTCTTTTCTGTGATTAGTACTCATAGGAGTTTACCACACCTAATTTTAGCCTTTTTTTGTCGCATTAGTTGACTCAAAATTTGAATTAGAAACTAGTACCAAGCATCAATCTTTGATAAAGCTAAAATATACCAAATGTACGACTTCACAGGAAAAGAAAGAATGGAATTGAAATAAAGCCTAATTGGATAACGGTATAGTGTTGTGAAGTAATGTTAGTTACTGAATGGAGATCAAAGCAACTCCATTAAGACATGCAATGATAGTATCCAAAGGAAGAAACAAACTTCATAAGTCTATATAGAGCATAGAAATATGCTGTTCTAAAAGTAGAATGTTAATCCATAAAAGGTACATATTCATCAGTGGAGAATAGCTCCTCCATGTATATTTTCAGTTGCACATAACCACTAAATTTCATCTAGTTTCAGGAAACTTGGCTTTCTAGACATTTAAAGAAGCTGAATGAGATTTATATCAAAAAGGGGTATCAACCAAATGAGGAATCGCTACTTTGATCTTCAGAAAGAGAGAAAGAAAGCAGAAGTGGAGGAAATAAATGAAAAGCAAAAGTTGTCAGAGAGCACTTTTTCAGTTTCACAAAAGGGTGGACATTGGATTTCAGATTTTCCAGAAACGCTTCAATTATTACACTCAAACTTAAATATATGTACACTTGCATAGATAGTGAAAATGCATCCATGCATCCATGCAGATAGTGACACTAAGACATTATTCCTAACATCTTCATATGTACACATCAGAGAAAGAGAAAGGGGTTACCTGGAAGAAGAATTAGCCCATATTAGATTGCTGGAAGTGTAGCCCATATCTTGATCCATGGATGCATTTGGAGGTCCTCTCTGATTTGGTAAAAAATTCTTATTTTGATTATTTGGTACTGTTAGGGACATGAAATCCTCATCCCCATCTGTTATATTGCATTATATATGTAAATATAAAGCATTAATATAATGCAATATCATATACCATTATAGACATTTATCCAAATCAATCTTCCTTTTTTATTTTGTATATACATACATGTTATATAACTTTTAAAATACACACACGTAGAAAAATAAACATTAGTTAATAGATATAGATTAAGAGGGTCTGAGTCATAAAGGGTGTAAGGGAATCTTCATAGGAATTGAATAAATTCAGCTTAAAAATTTGGAGCGGAAATCAAGGAATTAATTAGTATAAATTGAATTAGGTAAAATAATACAAGCGGCGAAGGTTTACATTATATATGAATTACCTGAAGTAGCTGCAGGTTTGTCAGTGTTCTTAACAGTCCGATACATCTGCAGTAACAAAAAAAGACAGATAAGATTAATATAACAGAGATTTGAGAATATATATATATATATATATATATATATATATATATATATATTAGAAAAGAAAAAGAACAATGATAGATGGGAAATCTGAATTGTCTATGAAGAAGATTTTGAAGGAGAATAAAAAAGAGGAGAAAATAATATAATCAGATGCTTCTTTTTGTGGGTTTGTTTGTTTAATAACCACGAGGTTGATGTTTGGTATGGTAAGTAATTGCTTCTATTATTGAGAAATGATGGCTACTTTTCCTACTTTCTCTTTCTATCTTTCTTTTTTTTTTTTCTCTTTCTCTTTCTCTCTCATGAAAAGTAGAACTTGTCATGTTCCTCTTCCATCAACAACAACTTCCACTGTTCATCATTCATTCATTCACTGCATGCCTCGGTTCCTGTGCTGCCCCGTACATAGACCTTGGACGAAGTCTACACACTACCCTAGTCACAGAGGCGCAACAAAACACAAGCACACAGAGAAAGAAAGAGAAATTGAAGGGGTCCTTTTTTTTTTTAATTTTGTTTTACATGGAGGGAGAGGATGAGAAACGAGGGTAAGGAGTGAGTCATATATACCTGCAAATGGCTCTTGACATGAGCTAGTGTTAGATCTTTGACATCCATTAGTTCCAAAACTGACTTAGGAGTAGCCCCTACAACATCCAACAAATAGAGTTCAAATCACGGTAAAACCTAGAGAAAAAAGTAGTATTTTTAATCTTGGATGTAATTTTCATTATAAGAAGCTAATGGTTATATTTTCAATTTAAACATGATTTTATTTGTTAATGAGTCTTCAAACACTAGAACTCGCACACACATATATATATATGCAAAAAGGAAGAGAAGAGAGATTCACTTTCATGACCACCAAGTAGTTCAACAGCATGGACAAATCGATTATGAAGAGAACTAGTCCAACGCATTCTTGGAGCTCTCATGTTCCTCTTATTACTTTGTTGCCTTGACAGCATTCTTGACCTCACAAATCCATTGGAAAATTCAGAAGCTCCAAAATTAGTACTATTCCCAAACTGCTGCTGCTGCTGCTGAGGGTAATCAAGGTACTGAAACTGTTGGGACCTTGGAGTACTCTCCATGGTTATGTCATGAAACCTTGAGATTGGTTCTCCTGCTACACCCCCAACAACACCATTACTACTATAATTAGGAGCCGAATTGGCAGAATAGGGAGGATGTGGAACAGCACATAGAGAAGAAAAGGAAAACTTGTTGGTGGGGTTTCTCTCTATTGAGGGAACAGTACTACTGTTGTCCAAAGAAAGGTTACTGTAGAGAGGGATTCCATTGATGAGTCTTATTTGACCATCAGTAACCCCATGATGACAAAGTCTTACATGGTTTCTTTTTCTCCAGGTAATTTCAGCCTCTGAGGGAGTAGTAGTGACACCACCTGTTGGGTTGGCCAAGGAGAGTTGTGTGTCTGCGTGGTAAGGGCTACAACCTCTGATTGAACCATCACTGTGAGACTTTAGGCCTTCAGCATCATAATCATCATCTGCTTGTTGTGGGCATGTATCAAAGGGTGAATCCCCTCCAGTGCAAATAGAAGAAGGAGCACTGTTCGGGAGGCTAATGTGAAGGGAAAGATCAGGAATCGGATTCGATGATTGGTCTCCGAAAATCTTATTCTGGGGCATTTTTTCAGTCACCTATATTCTCAGAAATGATTTCAAGCTATAGTATATAGTATGCTACAACAACACTGAAATGAAAGGGAACAAAACCAAAAAGAAAAAGAAAAACACACTCAACCTAAGGAGAATTCAGAATTTGAGGGAAGGGAAGGCCTGTTTATATATATATATATATATGTGTATATTTTTATTCCTCCACTATAGATTGAAATTTGATATATATGTAAAGAGAACCCCTAAAAGCTACAAAACAAAACAAGAAGCAGCTAGAATATAAATCAGTTTAAGGTGATTTATTGAAGAGGTGCAAAGTGAGGATATATATGAACTATGTCTTTGAAAGAGAAGATACTTTCTCAGCTACACGAAACTATGGAGAGAGAGAGAGAGAGAGAGAGAGAGAGAGAGAAAGATGTGTGGTGGTGCATATAATATAAACAAAAAAATAATGTAAAGGGAATGGGAAAGAAAGAGAGAGATGAGAGTGTTTTTATGTGGCTAACTTGAGTTAAGAGTATATATGGGAAAGTGACACTCCAACAATTACTTTCATTCCTTTTTTTTCTTTCTGCATAATTAACTCTGCTTTTCTTTCTGCGTAGTCAATACACACAAAAACTGCAAAGTGCAAAGTTGGGGTAAGTTTTGCTGTGTTTGATTTTTCTTTCTCCCAAAGAGGACAGGATGAAATATATTAAACGCTAAAGAGGGACTCCATTGTTCATTACAGTTCTACTAATCACCATCATCCCCTCAAATTCTAATTAATTTCTCCTACATTAATATACCAAATAAATATTAAAATTTACATTTTTTTAATTTCAAGGATTAATTGATTCATTTTCAATATTTGATGAAAATATCGAAAAATAAATATTTAATCATCTAACTCATTTGTTGGGTAGAAAAAAAAGTATTTACTAATCAAAAAGTAAAATATTCAATATAATTTTATCAACTTTTACACTAAATAGCTAAAAAGTCATCCTTATACATATCATTACTTTTTTTTTATTAATGGATTTTGTACGAACTTTTTACATTGTGTGTACACTATTAAAACTTAAACTCATGAGAATTAAATAGGCTTGATTTCTACCTTCTCTCCACAGTGAGAATTTATTTTGCTATATGTGGTTGTTTTTGCTTAATTAGTCTCGAAATAAAGCTTGAAATATGTGATTCTTCTAAATGCTAAAAGAAGGTTGGGAGCCTATATAATTATTTTACTTAGTTCAAACATGATTGTTTTTGTAGAAGATAATTACTATCTCAAACCAAAAGTTAAGAAATAATTAATTTATTGAATATTTCATCTATCTCGTTTGTTGGAAAGAAATGTTTGAGTTTTTACAAGATTAATTAATTATAAATTATATTTTTGTTAATTTTTTTAAGCAAAATAAATGTATATATTATACATTATATAAGGAATACCAGCCCTATTACTAAAATAAAAATCCCTATCTTTTTAACATTTTCATCTAAAACCTCCATTATTCCCTGCATAATTAAACCATATATCTTAAAAATAATTTTTTCAAGACAAAAAATATTAAAAATATAATAATAAGTGAGTATAATTTTTATCTTATTAAACCAATTTTGTAAAATTGAATTAAATATAAAATCGCTGAGAAAATAAAAAGATACGATGAAAATTCATTCTTAATAAATCGATCTTATAAAATTAAATTATATATTAATATAAAACACTTTACGCGTAGAAACTAAATTAATTTAAATTATATTTATCAATTGTGAATGAGTACAATTAATAAAATATAATTAAGACAGACTTAAACTTTGTAATGTAATAAATAAAAAGTAATAAGTTTTTGAGAAAAATTAACGTGCTGAGACCGACATACATATGGATTTAGTAGCATATGTTCTTACTTAACCTAACTTTAATTAAGCTAAAGTAAGTGGATGCACTATTTAAAAAACGTTTTTTTTTTTTTAAGTTGACTATTGGGACTTTAATTATGCTTATATATATCCCTTTCAGTATTCAAGATGGAGCCTTTTTTGTGTTACAATTTTCTCTTCGATTAATAATTATCATAACTGCATTTATCAGGGTTGAATTCTAATTTTGACTATATGTTCCTTGATATCTAATGCTTCCTCTATGCATAAAATTAATTTTGTTTGCGACATTGAAGAAGCAGTTCTTCCTTATTCCTTGTGTTTTTTGTATGATCGAAGATTAATTTAGATTAATGCAGAGACTCATTAACTGCTAAATTCATTTGAGATGAATCTTGCTAGTATCTAATGCTTGATTTTTGGAACATGAATTGGACCTATAACATTCAAAGGAGACAAAACTATAACTAATTTACACAATATTTAATGTTTTTCTAGGTTGATTTCAACCACTAAAAAACAATCTTTTTCTATGATTCGTAACAATTGTCATTAGGGTATTTGTTAAGAATTTAGCAAAAAGAAAAAGTCCTTTTTACTGTTTTAGAAAAGGTATTTTTTTTTAGAAAAATAACAAAAAGTATTCAGTAATAGGACGTGATATTTAATATTTTAGAAACTTCAATAACATTATTTTTTTAATTTATTTATTTAATACTAAGTACATGCGGCTTTTACTTTAAAATATAATATACGAAAACGTGATTGAAGAGAAAATGGGAAGAAGACCGTTAAGGTTAAATTACGTTATCTGTATAGTTAAAAATGTATAATTTTATTTTAGGAAATATTCAAGTTCTTATGTGAAACAATTAACAAAATTTACTAAGGAAACCATGATGTTATTTGAGATTCTTTTAATAAAAAGTTGTTTTAAATAATTAGTATTTTATTTAATATTTTTTAATTGTTTAATTTAAAAAAAATATTGTGTTTAATTTTTAATTTAATTAATAAACAAATAAATTATTTTTGAAAAAAAATCATCTTTTTTAATATAATTTTTTATCTATTATCATTAAAATACAATTATATATATATATAAATTAAAATTTATTTTATCATAAAAACTAAATTATATTTCAATAATAACATATAAGGATTTATTTTAAATAAAAGATATGAAAGATTGAAACTATTTTTAATATTATTTTTTTAAAATTTGAGGAATAAATTGAAACTTGATACACTTTAAATTATCAAATTACCATTTTATATTACTTTTATACTTATGTTTTTAGTCTCTAAAATTTAGAGTGATTTATATTTTAGTCTCTTGAATTAAAAAAATATATTTTAGTTCCTTAAAATTGAATAAAAAAATGATTTTACGCCTTAAACAGTAAATTTGTAAGACTAAATAAATAAGGTTTTTAAACCTGTGTTTACTCCTTCAAATTTAGTATTTAAAAATTAAAGTCATATTTTACTAAATTTTAAGGACTAAAATATGTTTTTTTTTTCGAGACTAAAAAATTATTTATCTTAAATTTTAAGGATTAAAAAATATTATTATTATTTTTATTTAATCCATTAAGTGAGTAGTAGCTCAAAATAATGATTATTAAATGAAAAACCTGCAATACTTAGAGAAAATAAACGAAAATATGATGATTAAATAAGTTACTGAGATAAAGATGACTAAAGATATTGTTAGAAGCATGAAATAAAAATGTGGCAATTAGAGAATAATTAAAAGATGAAAGAAAGTAAATGGAATTTATAAAAAGAAATAATGCAATTATTTCTAATTAAACAAATAAAGTTCCTTTACGTCTCTCTCTATTTATATCACAAAATACAACATTTTGGACCCTGAGTAAGGGTTTAATTAGTCTTTTCACATATTTGTGGTGAGTGTAAATTAAAACAAAGAACTAATTCTCAATCTTTGTGTTAAACTCTGCTCTACAATTAAATGCTACACTCCTTAACAAACGCAAATAGAAATTCTAATAACAATTTTTTCACTAATTCAACAAGTTTAAAAATATAATTAAATTATGATATAACACGTGTCTACTCTAGTGATGATACACGTGGATAATTTGGTAAAATATGAATAGTTTTATAATTATTAATTATTTTATTTAAAAACGATAAAATATCTGGTCTTATGAGGTTATAATTAAGATTTATTATCATTATATTTAAATATAATTTTTTTTTAATTTTAAATTTTGATACGATTTTAATTTTAAGAAGAAAGGTGGGTGAAATAGTGTGATTAAGCAATGTAATGAATTGGATGGTGAATAACGGAGGCATTGACCTGAATGTGTGTGAAGGGAAACTGAGACACATAGAGACGGAGAAGGAGGGCCTAAAGGGTTGTTTGTTTGCTTCCACATATTTGTCATTCTAAACCCTATTATTTCAAATTCCTTTGTAACTTTCTTAATTGCTTTTCATCCTTCCAAATATTCCTTTCTAATCCCCCAACAACTTGTCAAAATAATGCATTCTATAGTACAAGACCAAATAATATCGCATACATATATGAATACAATGTTTCAACAAACATCTTTTAATAATATATATATATATATATATATATATATATATATATTTTTTTAAAATAGTTTATTATGAAATTTAAAATGAAAATTTATACGAAATAATTTTTAAAAATCATTTTTTTCATAAACTATTTCTTATTCTAAAAATATTTATGGATCCAATCATATATACGCAAGGTTGAAAAATAATAATGTTTAGTTGAATGGTTCACTTAAATGTGAAAATATTGTTATATATAATTTTAAATTGATTGATAAACATAATTATTAAATTATAATAAAATAATAAATATTTAACTGAAGAGTCTGGGTACAATTTATTGATAAAATCCGATTCAAAATAATTTTGGTAGAGTTAAAATTTTATGTTTAGTGATTTATATATATATATATATATATATATATATATATATATATATATTGTATTCAAATAAACTTATTTTATCATTTATGGAGTAAAAAAATAAAGGTTTTGATTTTTTTTTTCATAATTATTTGCACAGACAGTAAAGTCTTTTTGTTTTAAAAGTCACATCAAGAATATTTTGATTG